AACATTGGCTATCTGCTTTGGTTGTGTCCCAAAGCATACCAAATTCTCATTAAACTGAGGTGGGTTAACAGAAGTCTTACATTTAAAATATAACACGTGTCCCCCCCCCAAGTGTAATGTTAAAAGGGATAATTTAGAAGTGACACAACAGTCAATATGTTCTCCTGCAGTTTGTCATTAATTTGGTTGGAAACACTTAATGTTTTTTCGCTTCATGTTAATATGTTGGAAACAGATATCTAGAATATGAAGAGCCAACAGACTGGTATCTTGCACCTGTTCCGTCTGCGTTTGAAATTCCACCTACTCAGCAGCTACAAATGGAATTTAGAGGGAATAGCCAAAAAGGTAGAATGTTTTGCGATTAGTTTTAATAAGAGGAAGTATGGAATTTAGAAACTGCTGTATTTTTCCGTGTATCAGACGACCTCTATTTTTTTGAACACAAAATCAGTATTTTAAAATAGTTAAGGTTACCAAAATTAGGATGGCATATTTCAAGAGCCAGAGCCTGGACCTCTGTGCATTCAACATCCATGTATAAGATCACGCCCCCCCCCCCCCCAATTTTTGAACTTTTTTTTTAAAGCAAAAAACCATTGTCTTATACACAGAAATATACGGTAATATTCAATTACTCACTTTAATGGGGGGGGCAATGCCTACTTTTACTGAAGTATGTTGAATCATGGGCGAAGTAGACTATATGTGAAAATGCATGACTGTATTTCACACATTTTTTCTTTAAAAAAAATAACAGCCATAGTGCTGGGTGCATCATAATGGCTTACTAACCCCACGTTGCTATTCAACATAGGATGAAAATACTTCCCTCTCAGGTTGTCATTTGCTCCAGAAAAGAAGCTATCCAAAATGCTATCTACAGAACACTGAAGTACTATGGGGTTGCTTTTGGTTAGGCGCAGCAATGGAGGATTAAAAAGAAGAAGAAAAGAAATTAAAATTTCATTTAAGTATTTTTTTTTTAAAAAAATCTGTTTTTTCTCCTCCAACAAAAAAGTTCAGAGCTCTTTGCAACCCTACAAGCAGTATTGTAGGCAATAGGCCCATGGCTTATTGGAGAAAACAAGGCTTACCACAGAGCGCTTAGGTCAACGTGAAGGTGCCATTTTTAAAACAATATAGAAGCAAGAATGCATTTCGCTCAGTCACCTCCTAAATTACTTTAAGGTAAGGAGCAGAAAGCCTCCACCCAAAGGGATTATGGATTAAAGTGAATCACTTTTACTTCCCCTCACAAAAATCTCCTGGACATATTTGGATGCAATTTGGCAAGTTTAATCCACTTTGAAGGGGATTCTGTATCTCTACATGGCATACACTTTGGTCAAAAGGAGGAAAAGCTTCTCCATTATAGTGAATGAGGGAACACAATTCAGTTTTATACAGAGTAGCTCTGGAGCTGATGACAAAGTGAGGCAGAGAGAAAATACAGGGTGACTCTGGAACAGATCAGGATTTTTTATTTAAAAAAACACCAATATAAATACTGTATAGGCCAGATATCGGGGCCTGTGCATGACCATAATAAATGAGGGATTTTAAGGATTGTCAAGCTGAGAAAGCGCAAGAAAACATTGAGAATAGTGACATGAAATTTATTTCATTTTATGCATGTTTTGTTGAATCAACTTCTTGGTAGCCATTGTATTCTACATTTCTTTTCCTTTTGCAAGTAGCTTGCACAGAGCAAATGACTTGCCCTCTTTTAAGAGCATTACTAAGGGATAAAATCCTAAATATTCTACATGATTACTTTGCTATGAATTCTACCAGGCAAAGCCTATAGGAGTTCAGTTAGTGGAGGCAGGTAAGTTATTTTCAGGCCAATAGTCAGGAGTTGGTCCCATTGTTCCTCTATGACCTTGATTAATATGAAAACAGAGCTTGTTAACTGTCTTGTAGAAAACCTTTAAAAAAATAAACTATTAATTAATTTTCCAGAAGAAGATGGTGATGAAAGTGCCCGCTCAACATTCAGGAAAAGGTAGGCTTTTTAAAGCCAATTATAATAATTCATCAAATATCAGAACCATATTATTTTAGATACATTTGTCAAAGACTCAGTTTTTGATCTTTGAAATGAAAGTGCTTAATAGGGCTCCAGGCAATTGTGTTAATATTCTTTTGAATGTGAGAAAACTGGGATAGTTCCTTTTGGTGGTGTTTTAATACAGTAATTAGATTTGCTCTAGGCACAACCCTTTTTTACAAGGATTTAAACACAGGATTTAGTTTATTACTTTAGTTAAGAGGCAGCTGATGTACTACCAAACACACTCTTAAAATTCCATACAAAGACATGGTCCTTGGCAGCTCACAGATATACTAGTTTATTTTTATACTTTAAGCTGTCACAGGACATGCATGTAATCCAACTCCTTTAAGAATCAATCACAGGATAATCATTACTTTAATAGGAGTGGACTTCACTCTTTGCCAGTTTGTTGCACCCGACTAGAACTGTACTTTTCAGAAATGCGTCCTGAAAGTTCAGTTAACTCTAAGATATTTTGAGTCTACTTGAAAGCTATCTAGGTGACAATGAATGCTGATTCTCAGCCCATTTCAGAGATGGTGCTCCTCTTTTTGGATGTGTAGAATCCAGTGGGTTTTCTTTAATTAATGACTATTACCACAAATATTGAAAGTGAGAACTAACAAGCAATGAACTACAAGTAAGCAGCTCTTTGAAAGGGAAAGATTGTTGCACCCTGGCTACTTTTCCATTCTTCTTGAATTATTCCTCTCCAGATGTTTATTTTTATATTTATTTATACATACAACTAAAATGCCGCTTAACATAAAACAACTCTATGCAGTTTGCAAGAAGAAGTAAAGTCATAAAATCACAGCAAAAATCTAAGAGATACATCAGAGGAGCTTTTTTTTAGCCTGAGGGATGCTTTCCTTTCTAGGCAATCTTCTAAGGGCCACATGCCAGCGGTGGGTGTGGCCAGAGGCAAAGATAAGCAGAGGTACGAATGCACATCTTACTTTTGTGCAGTTGGCTAGTATCTGCACACACTCGCATGCTTCTCTTGACCCTCCATCCAGACGAGCAAGAGCATCACCAGAGCTCAAGTACACATTCCAGCAAGGCAAAGACACAGGGTTCAAAATAGGGCCATGGATGGGTGGGACCTGGGGATAGTTGTGAAGGCTGAAGGTCTTTGTCACCTGGGCCTGGTGTTCCCTATTTCTGAGATACATAGTAAAATGCTAAATCACAATACCGATCAGCACAATCTGGAAAAAAATGTTTTCAACAACCAGAGAAAGCCTGAATAAATAAATGGGTTTTAAAAACATACCACATTTGATGCTTCCTGAATGGGGACTGGGTTCTAGAAGGATGGTTCCACTGTGGGCAAGGCCTGTTTCCATGATGTCATGGTCATCTGGGGCCTCATCAAGTGAACATATGGGTCGTCTAGGTCAGTATGAGTGAAGGTGCTTTGCTAGGTATCCTGGCATACTGTATCCCACTCACAGTATACTCTGTGACATACATTGAAATATGCAGGCAAAGCCACTGCATGTTCTTGGCATCAAATGTAAGTGGTTTTGATGTTATGCTCAAGCAGGAAAAACAGATGCACAACATTTTCAGAGCAACGTATAAAATGGAAAGACACATATCATTCCTGTACGGCTGATACATCTCACTGTGGCAGAGATGCAAAATGTCCCACTTTGGATGTTGTGTTAGAAGTGTAAAGTCCAAAGCCACTGCAAGTCTTTCCTCTTTCAATGTCATTGTTTCTTTTATCTGTACTCAGCTATTTCACTTCCAAATCAACAGTGAATTTATCTTGGAGATCTTGGTCCATGCCTCACAGCTTGATAGGCACTAAAGGAAACATGGCCCGCCAGCCCTGTATAATGACCAGCCCAAGGCTGAATTAACCCCTTGTTTCGGTTGCCTGCCAGATGTTGGGTTGAAATCACGACAGACGAATGGTGGGTGTCAAAGGAGAGGCGTCTGCCGGGACAAGTCCCGGGAACTCTCTTTTATTGAATATTACAAACATTGCCACAGGTGTGCTTGTGGCTGATTGGCTGATACAAACACAAAGCATCTTGTTGCTGATTGGTTAACATAGGTACAAGGCGGGAATAACATATTACATTAATCACTGATAGTTCAAAGACTGGGAAACGGAGCTGGAACTAGACAGGCATGAAACCTCCTAATTAAATTATAACTAAAGATTGATATTGAGAGAACATAACATGAAGGAATACAACAATCACGTTCTGTAAATGTGGTCAGCAATGCATTAAGAACAGGTCAGGATACACTGTTTCATGAACTCAATGGGAACTGTTCAGAACATTCTCAGACTTATGTGCAGAGGCAAAAACTTCCCAGAATGTAAGAGTTATGTGCAGTAAGAGAACTGCAGAAAGAGAACTTCACAGTGAGAGAACTGCAGAAAGAAAACTTCCCTTCATCTCCCCCTTTCTTTTCTTGTTTGCGAGGCATTCCAGGTGGATAAGGCAAAAATACTTCGGGATTAGTGGTGTGCCAGCGAATGCCCGAAATAAGCCTGCCAGGGTCGATGGGACAAAAATACTTCAGGATACGTGGTTTGCCAGCGCATGCCCAAAATAAATCCGCCCACATCTCCCCTAAGGTTTACTGTTGGTGTTGCCATTTCGCAATGTAAGCAGCAAGGAGTTTACTGGGTGGTTGAGGGGGGGAGAGAAGCCGAGAGAAAAGACTCATGAGGCTGGGAACGCATTGAAGGAAACAGCATAGTAAAATAAGAATACAAATTATGAAAATAGCATATTGAAAGAGACTACGAAGCCAAGTAAAGTTAGGCAGCCAAGCAGTAAGCCACTGGGTGAAAGAATCCCAGAGGCCAGGAAAACCAATGTCCTGTTTAATGTGATGTGTAAGATTTTGCAAATGAGAGATTTGACTTTGAATGGCTCTTGAATTGTCAGTAATATTGAAGCAACACATGTCATTCACTTGTTCACAGCCATAATGATGAAGCATCAGCAAATAGTGATAGCAGCACGATTTCGTAAAAGTCCATTATATAGTTCATTCTGTTCTTTATTCAAAAGGTGAAGGGCTTGTGAAGTAAAATTCAGGGCTTTTGCTAAAGAATTAATGTTCATACGATTCCGTACAGCCAATCCAGGGACTCCTAAGAGAGAAGCAACTAAAGAGATATATTCAAACCTACTGAGAAGAGAGACAAAAGCATCACAATCATTAGTCAATTCAGTATTGCAGCGATAAAATGATGGACAAACGGCTTAAACAGCAAAGTGTGCCATGGCTGATGTTTGCTGGAATGTAATTAAACGTATAGCCAGGACACGACCAGAAGATTTCCAGTTGAGGGGAAGTGCAAGCTTACTCATTAAATTGAATGGTAGCTTGTAATTGCTGTAGTAAATCTCTTCCCCACAGATTGAGGTGGATTTTCAGCACACAGGGCTGGATGTAAGCAATGGTTTCAGAGCTGTCAGGCAGAGAAACAGGCAGCCACTGTACGCTTTTGGAAGAGGTTTGGGGGCCACCCACACCCCAGACTGCAGAAGCAGACTCAAGGGGCCACGTGGGGTCCCAGCAACTACTAGAAATTACAGAAACGTCTGCGCCTGTGTCAATCAAGCCTTCCAGCACAATACCATTGATTTTATACTTACGAAGAAGTTTCTTCTCACCAATCCTCTGGACTACAGCTAACAGCTGTGGAGGGAAAGAAGAGAGCTCGTGCAAATTAGTATCCATAATAGAAGCAGTAGGATGAGAAGGAGCACCACCAAATGCGCCCAAGACTCACCCTTTTTAATTGCATGGGCATATGGCTCCAGAGTTGAACCATTATTGTGCCTACATAGTCAGGATCCAGAACTCCAGGAATAACCTGGATTCCTTCCTTTGCCGCAGAAAATTTGGGTAAAATTAAACCTGCGACTTTAGGAGGCAGGGGACCTGCCAATTGAGTGGGCATAAGCACAATTTCACCAGGTAGAACAGAGTCTTTGGTCTCTTGATTGATCAAATCAATTGCAAATTCAGAGGGTGTGTTCTTTGAAAAGTTTGCAGCAGCAGAAGTTAAAGGTGGAAATCTCTCTAATTTTCCTGGCCCGAGAGCGAGGCCGGGATGGAGTTTCCGAACTCCTGCATTGATTAGCCCAATGATAGCCTTTGCCACATTTCGGGCATTTTTAGAAGGTTTAGCCTTAGAGGCAGAACCATCCTTGTGTGCCCCCCGCCAGAGGCTCTGCATTGCTTGGCAAAATGGCCTGGGTGCTTGCAATTAAAGCAGTTACCAGTAGGCTTAGTGGTTGCTTGGATTGCGCCGGCAAGCAAGGACATCGCATGGCTCTGGCTACCGACATCCGCACAAGCTTGAATCATATCGGCCAGTTCATATTTAGGGCGATGTATGATTGACTGCAAAGCTTTCTTGCAATCAGTGTTTGCGTTTTCAAAGGCCAATTTTTTCATCAATTCATTTTGAGCAGTGGTGTTATCAATCTGCCTAGTGACTGATTCTTTCAATCTATCTATAAACTGATGGTATGGCTCCGAATGCTGTTGCTTAATATTTACAAAGGAGCTCAGCGGTTGCCCAGAAACAGGGACTTTCCGAAGGCGCGTTGTACACAGGTCGCGGTGCGAACAAAATGTACAGGTGTCAGTGTTGCTTGGGCAGTTATATCAGCAAACTGACCAGCACCATAAAGTTCATTGGCAGTATGTTGAGGATCAGACAGGGCTGAAGCGCTATGTTTAAATTCACTCTCAAACACCACATACTGAGCAGGGGACAAAAGCATGCGCATCAGGTCTTTCCAGTCCTGAGGTAGCATAATGTAGCCAGTTGCTATGCCTTCTAGCATCCCTGTCACATAAGAGGATTTCAGACCAGAATCAGCAATGGCTTTCCTTAATTCCCTCATTACAGAATAAGGAAGCGATTCATAGTAAATCTGCTGTTGAGCAGTTCCAGGGTTTGAATAAGAGATAGGGAAAGCAGACGGCATTTCACCTGGCCACTCAGACTCCTCCTCTAAGGACAGGAGCCCTTTTGCCTTGCCAGAGAGAGCGCAGCCCGCACAGCTCGTGTAGAGCAATCCGGGGGTGTGGCAGGAGGAGGAGGGGTGGAGGGGGCGGAATCAGGCTGAGGCGGAGGGATGGGGGGGGAGGATGCAGGCTGGGGAGGGTGAGACGCAGGGAGGGATTGGCTGGGCTGCAAAGCAGAAGGAGGTAAAAGTTTCGGGTAAGGGGGGGGATTGTCTGCGATGGCGAAAAGTCCTGGTGGCGAGCGAGACGCCTGTGGTAATTTAGCAACGGCATCAGCACATTTCTGCCAAGTGAGCAGACAATGAATCGGAGCCCTAGGTTCTGCAAAAAGGGTCTTTCCGATCTTTTGCCAAGTCTCTACGTCCAAAGAACCAGCCTCTGGATAAAAGATGCATTGGCAATTAATCTCACATAGCAATTGTTCAATTTCTTTTAAGGAAATATTAACACCCACCTCCCGCTGCCTAACTAAATAAAGCAATTCTTTAGCATGCTCTTTCTGGAGTTTAGTCAAGTCCCCCCCCATACTCACGAAGTAGCGCGCTGAGACTTTTCCAGTCGGGTGAAGTATGAGGTTAGGCTGCGTAAGGGATCTGGCACGTCAGGGTCACCAGATGTTGGGTTGAAATCACGACAGACGAATGGTGGGTGTCAAAGGAGAGGCGTCTGCCGGGACAAGTCCTGGGAACTCTCTTTTATTGAATATTACAAACATTGCCACAGGTGTGCTTGTGGCTGATTGGCTGATACAAACACAAAGCATCTTGTTGCTGATTGGTTAACATAGGTACAAGGCGGGAATAACATATTACATTAATCACTGATAGTTCAAAGACTGGGAAACGGAGCTGGAACTGGACAGGCATGAAACCTCCTAATTAAATTATAACTAAAGATTGATATTGAGAGAACATAACATGAAGGAATACAACAATCACGTTCTGTAAATGTGGTCAGCAATGCATTAAGAACAGGTCAGGATACACTGTTTCATGAACTCAATGGGAACTGTTCAGAACATTCTCAGACTTATGTGCAGAGGCAAAAACTTCCCAGAATGTAAGAGTTATGTGCAGTAAGAGAACTGCAGAAAGAGAACTTCACAGTGAGAGAACTGCAGAAAGAAAACTTCCCTTCAGCCAGAGACTGCAAGAATGGGTGTGGGGAAGCTTGGTGCGTCAAAAATTGTGCAAGCCTGTCTCAAGTAACAAATAACAGGTTTGGTTTTCCGCAGGTATTGGAAACAAAGCAATGTAAGCTGTAGTATGTAATTGCTATGTAAGTAGGTTGTAAATGTGTATATTATATGAAAATATGCCTTTGAATTTATTACAGCTTATTTAAACCAACCAATTATACATATGTAAATCCAGGCAACACTGAGAGTACCAATGCCAAGGGAGAAATGGACACGTATTGTAATATTACCAACAACAAAGAAATGAGGAAAGGAGACCTATGGAAAAATAATACGCAGTTAACTCAAGATTCAGATTTTAATCTGCTTAGTGTAAATGATATTTTTTCTGCTTATGGAAATGGAATTGAAAAAGCACAGTCATTTCCTTCTGTTTCAAAGACTTTTAGGATGGAAGGTAAATTACACATTTTCTCTGTAATTTTTCGCTACAAAGGTATTTACAACACTGGCTTCATGAATATACATTATTCATAGTTATTGCATGAACAAAACTGTAGATGGAGTCAAGAAATACACAACAATCTGCTTGAGTAATCTAAAGTAAGGAACATAGTCATATTCATATAGAAGGTCAGAAGCAAATTAGAAAAAAAAAGATGTGAATCACAGAAAGGAACACCTAAGCCAGATAAGACAGAAGTAATTATAATGTGGTGGATTAAATGCATGTCTCAAAGAGCTTAGTGCTCTGCTATTTTTGAGGTCAGCCATGGGAACTGATGAAAAGAAAGCTATGCATTGTTCTTTCACATCTTCCTCTTCTGCTCCTCCACATCAAATTTCATCCGCATATACTACAGTGAAAAATTTCTTCAACATGTCACAAGCAATCCTTCTTTCTTCCCACATTGGAAAGAAGGGCCTATAGGTAATTTGAAGGTAAATGAGGGCAAGATATAAGTCTGCACTTCCAAAGAGCAGTGGTAGTCAACATGGTGTCCTCCAGATGAAGTTGGACTACAGTTCCCATCATCTCTGATCATTGACCATGGCCATCTGTCATGGATACTTTAGGTGAAATTCCTGCATTGTAGGGGGTTGGACTAGATGAATCTTGGGGTTCCTTCCAACGGTAAGATCTATGATTCTATGACTGACCATGTTGGCTAGGGCTGATGGGATCTGGAATCCAAACATGTCTAGAGGGCCATAGATTCCCCATCTCTGATGTACCAAACCTTATTGCCCCGGCCCTCATTGCTAGACAAGGGACTTGAACTCTCAATGCAGTTTGTGCCAAAGTCTTTAAAGACAAGGCACAGGTTACAAGATTTAGCAGATGTAAAGGAGGTACACATACATGGCTCTTGCAAGCTAGGACATGGGTCCAGCAAGCAACATGCCCCTGCACCTTCCTTTTGAAGAGACAGATGGGCACAGAACTTAGCATGGCAAGTGATCAGAGTCTCAGGACTAGGCACACAAATGGGCACTCCCCATGTGTTTTTGGGCACCGCAACATGTGTTTTTGAGCACTGCAATCTCGCACAAGACAATGTCCAGCTGTGATCTCATGCATTTTTGGGTGCCATGCTCTTGCATGAGAGCATGTCCCCCCGCCCCCAAATGGGAAGTCTTGGGACAGTTGATGGGTATGTGCGGACCATCAATTGGGAACCACTGCTCTAAGTCATTATTTTGTGGATACATTTGCTGTATTGAAAGATGTACAGAAACACTGTTGTAAAGAAGGGCAGTCGAGAATTTTTGTCTGCAGTCCTCAAAAAGATACTGGCTATTTGCTTTCCTAGATAAAGCTTTGGAAGATTGCAGCCTTCTACCCTGGCTTCAGACACCTCAATTGGTGTCTCTACCTGCAGGATCAGTGTTATGCAACCTTTGCCAACCTGGCTGGGGCTGATGCTGGGCTTGCTTTTGGGGGTGGGGGTGGGGGAATTGTAGTCAAAAATATTTGGAGGAAACCAGACTGATGAAATTACATTCTATCCTCAGCATTTTTATTTGCGTTTTTTATTAATATTGTTAATGGATGATGATAAAAATAAAGTTTTATTCACTAGGAACTACAGAAGAAGACTTGATTTTGAGACCTGTGACTGAAATCCGTATCCTTTTATGCACTACAATTATGTAAAAGTAACTTCTTGGTTGTATATTATGTAAACTATAATGTTTTTAAATATGCTTTAAGAATCTAGAAAGTAATCATGTGGCTGGGGGACACTGTAAAGGTAAAGGTAAAAAAAGAAATATAATTGAGGAAACTTATGATTGTAGTAATGGCCATGGTGCATTGAATGAACAATTAACATATTCACATTGTCTTAAGCAACTAGAGTATGAGTATGCAGTTTAGTGGACCAGCTGCATAATGCTACCATAGCAGGCTCCAGTAGCACAACCATCATAGCACAACCATTATTTGGGTTTTCCCAATAATGAATAATGCTTAGGGTTGATTAGTAAATCAATATTTTGCATATGTTTTAATTTTTATTTCATTCCACCCCATATCGTTTTTTTCTTTGATTTTTTTTTACATTTCTCCCCAGCTCCAACCTTGTTAGAAATTTTCTATGTAGTTGAAGAACTGCTATTCCTCCATTTAATCATTTTCCAAACAAATGTTTAAAAGTGGGAAGTTTTATTTAAGTCTGTATAAAGTACTTCATTGTGAAAGATGTATCCATTCCTAACTAAATTGTTTGACTCCTTAATATGACTTTAAGCTGCCCAGTTTAGAAATATTTTCAAAGAATTCCCTTATTTTAATTACATTCAATCCAAGGCTCTGGATGATGTAAGTATGGATTAGTTTTAACTATGCAGGTTTCATAATTATTTTTACACTTACGGCCATGCATAAGGAAATACCCACTGCTGATTTCATAAAAGTAGTTCCTGTGACCCGCCAAGATTAATGGAGCTTGCCATCAAGTTTGGCAGTCTACTAGGGCAGGGCAGGGATCTGGTTCCAACCAGAGGACTGGATCCAAAAGTACCGTAACTTGGGGAAAGTTATCTGCCTATAAAATCACCTGACACACCATATGACTCCAACTTCAGTTTGTGACTGCAATGGAACGTTATAGCCATGGCTTCAACTACAGTGGAGAAATCTTCCTTTGCTTGCAGGCAAAGAAACAGTTTGGTGTTCACCTAGAGTGTGCCTTCTCCATTTGTCCTTTGTGGCAGCCATACCTTGAATTTTCCTGCACCTGGAGTGGCTTAGGAAAAATGACTTGGCAGACTAACCTCTGAGGTCTGGTACGCCTAAGTAGCTCAGCAGACCAGAGGTTCCCCACAACCAGTGGTGACTGATACCCACTGGGACACACATATGGCAGAAGGCAGGAAGGCCAATAATAGGCAGAGCTAATGACAAGTGGAGCCAAGTAATTCTAGTTTTGACTCATTCTCCTCCCTGCTGAGGAGGGCAACCCTGAGACCGAGGCAGAAGCTGCCACAGGCAGTGCTACCCCCAGACCAATTTTAAGTTGGAAAATAGGCAGGTAGGGACCTACTAAAGGCAGGCTGAGATTTGTGGGGCCCTAATGGACGAGCCTCCACTGCTCACCACTTCCTAAGGGCTCGATGAACGTCTTGTTCTTGCTGCTTGCCTTGGACCCTAGGGAAAAAAGAGAATATTTGCTCAGTTGCCGGATTTTTTCCCTAGGGTCCAAGGCAAGCAGCAAGAACAAATACAACATAAACTCTCATGGCTGCAGTCCTGTGCAGTTTTATCTGGGATAAAGGGATCCCTGACCATTAGGTCCAGTCACGACCGACTCTGGGGTTGCGGCTCTCATCTCGCTTTATTGGCCGAGGGAGCTGGCGTACAGCTTCCGGGTCATGTGGCCAGCATGACTAAGCTGCTTCTGGTGAACCAGAGCAGCGCACGGAAACGCCGTTTACCTTCCCGCCGGAGCGGTACCTATTTATCTACTTGCACTTTGACGTGCTTTCAAACTGCTAGGTTGGCAGGGTTAGATGCATAGGGTTAGATTGCACAATGGCAATCCTGTGCACACTTAAATTGGGAGAAAGCTTCACCGAACACAGTGGGAGTTAATTTCTGAATAAATATGTGTATGATTGCACTGCAAGATAAAACAAAGTGCCAAAAGAACATTATAAATGATGGCATTTGTTGAGCATGCTGTGACCACATTACTTAACTAAAATATGTAGGACTGCAGTTTCAAAATCTCTGCAGTGTTCTTAATTTAGGCGATAACTAAAGCATTAACTAGAACGGGGTTACTATAAAGCAGGTATGGGGAATCCATTGCCTTCCATATGTTGTTGGACTACAACCCACATCACCCGTGGCCCCTGGGGCTGATGGGAATTGTAGTTTTCTGGAGGGCCACAGGTTTCCCATCCCTGACATACAGTAGAGCAAACCTTTTAAAGCTTTTGGCCTTATTCTGGTAACAAAGTAGTAAATAAATAGGTTTATTCTTTATAACATTAGAACTTTGCACAAGTGGCTGCTTAAGCTACATATAATTTATGGAAAAAACAGATCATTAAGGGATGATTTGTTCTGAAATTGATGCTGAAGGACAAATCTTACTGTGTATTTTTAATGATAGACCACTGTCAAGGCCTATCATCTTCTATGTGCATGGCTCCCTCCTGAGACTTGAAAATGGGTTTTGTGTTAGCAAGTCTACAGCAGGCTTTGCTACATAATGGCCCTAGCTGTGCCATATATTCTTCATAATTGCTCAGCGGCAGATCGCAAGGAAAAACTATTGCTTCCACTTTATCTTTTTTGTCCTTGTATTTGATGCATAAAAAGGTAGTCTTTAAAAAAATTGAACTTAGCTGTTACGGCATGTTGAATTCTTCAACTTTCAAATTCCAAAGTTGTAACATGACCTGGGAATTCAAAAGACATCTTGGTTAAATTAATATAATATAGTTTTGCTAGGCAAGTAAAATATGTGTAAACTTGTATAGAAATAATTAAAAATGATTGCCAAGTACTTGCAATACTATTTATTTATCTAGCATTACCTGATATTTTCAGAAGGTAAATTTGAAATTTGTTTCATTTTCTGAAAGCAGATTATATGCTTTGACGTCGACATACCACACTAAACGTTGTCCAATAGCAAAAATAATAGCAGATTAGAATTCCTTATACCCCCAAACCTATTTTTTAAAAAATATATAATATTTATTAATTTTCCAACAATTTAAACACAACACTACAAAAGAAAAAGCATAAAAAATAAGACAATGCAATACAATACAAAAACACTACAAAACACTAACACATAAAACTAATAAAACAAAAACAAAACCCATTTAAAACACATCAAACCATTTCATTATCTTATCTTTCATTCCCTTCTTTCCACGACCTCCTCACACCTCCCTTTTTGTATTCCACTTCTGTTAATTGTTTCAGCAATTCCTTTCCATCTTCCTCTGTTTTCTATCCTATAATTATCTTAACACATTCTAACCTTATTTTCCCTTTAATACTCTATTAATCTACTTAATTCCTTATAACATTTCTACTAAAGCCATATAACTTCATTCCAACATTTTTCTAACATTCATTGATTTTACAGTATTTCTGTAAATAATCTTTAAACTTTTTCCAGTCTTCTTCCACCGATTCTTCTCCCTGGTCTCGGATTCTGCCAGTCATTTCCACCATTTCCATATAGTCCATCAACTTCATCTGCCATTCTTCCCGGGTGGGTAAATCTTGTGTTTTCCAATACTTCGCAATAAGTATTCTTGCTGCTGTTGTTGCATACATAAAAAAAGTTCTATCCTTCTTTGGCACCAATTGGCCGACCATGCCCAGGAGAAAGGCCTCTGGTTTCTTCAGGAAGGTATATTTAAATACCTTTTTCATTTCATTATAAATCATCTCCCAGAATGTCTTAATCCTTGGGCATGTCCACCAAAGGTGAAAGAATGTGCCTTCACCCCCCAAACCTATTTTAAACACCCCTCATTGAATAAATTTTCAGAAATTAAGTTTTACCCCATAAAATGACATGCCTTAATGACTATATCATTCATGATTTGAGTATGTGTGCATCAATACATTAATAAATAGTTGATTGTGTGCAAATTATTCCAAACCTACTTGTCAAAATATATGCACCTGATTTTGTGCTCCACTTACTATTAGTTGTTCTTTTTTAGCTCCTTTACACAGATAGAAATTTTGTGATCTGTGCGCCCACCGGTTCTGGAAAAACTGTGATATTTGAGCTTGCAATTATCAGGTTATTAATCAAAGTGCAAATGCCTTGGTTAAATATTAAAGTTGTATATGGTAAGTATGCCATATGCTTAAGTTAATAATTATTAATTATCAAGAAAAAATGATAACATTATTTTGATATTTACGCATGATCGTTTTGTTGATGAATATGGACACATGTCCAAACAAAGTTTGTCACATTGCTAAACATGGTTTATTTTTTAATCTACACGACAGTTGTTGAAGTTGTTATTTTAGCCATCCTTCCAAACTGGAATTCCTAAATGTTCATCTGATGTCAAGACAACGATATGGTCCTAACAGGCAAAGGCATTGCAGGCATAGTTGGAGGCAGGTCACTGCCCAAGTTTCTGAGAAGGCAGGAATCTATGATGGCAGAGGTGTAATTAGGACTGGGCAAGCAGTTCTGTCCTAGGGAAGACAGAGGGCAAAGCAGGGCAAAAGCAAGGAAATGCAGTAGGAATCCGCTGCTACTACTCATAGTGACAAGTTGCTGTGCCAAACTCTGAGATCAGAGCTGCCTTATAGCTGACAATTTCCATAGTCTAGGTGGCAGCCTTGTATTGTATTCAGCCAGGTTTGCAGCAGAGTGAGGTCAGTAATGCAGGAGGTAAAGTACCAGGCTTTGTTGGATGCCCAGGTTCAAAACACTACCCCAGTACCTTTAAGCCCTGCATCTGTTTATGAAACACAGGTTCCCCAGTATAACATGTAGTTATGCCTTCAGAAAGTAAAGACAAGCCCATTTCATTTATTTATTTATTGCATTTAAATCACACCCTTCTCTCTATCCAAAGGAATGAAACATACTGATTCTAACAGTTTGTAATAATATTGTTATACCCCACCCCAATCTCCACGAGCGGTGAGAGATTCTAGAAAAGTTCCAGGTGTTTACCCAGGGTCTTTGTTTCTTTTTGGGCATTGAGGTACAGCAGAGACTGTGGTGTCTTTATTATATGTGGTTTATTTACAGATATATACAACCTGAGTCAGATGGTGGGAAATCCCAGCATTAAACTGATACAGAGGATCCCTTACCTTTCCCATGGGCACCGCAGGCTGGGATCTAAAGACAGAGAGATCTTCCATGCTCCCTCTCTTTGTTACAGTCGGCCACTTTCAGCCCATATCACATTCTGCCCCACTCCTTCCTCCTTGTCACTGCTAACCCAGTTAAACTATTTCCCTCCAGCCTATGTCATCCAAACCTGAAATCCTAAACCCTTCTTGTCTCTTGGAGGGCCCCCCCCATTGTCTAGTACCTCAGTGCCTTCTTAATGGCTTCCTTGATGGGTCAATGACAGCCAATCACCAGCCTTTGTTCCTCCAATGGCCCACATTCAGCTAGCTCTGCCAAGCTGACCTGCCTCGGTAGCATAAGCTTAACCCAGAGAGCTTTCCATGTTTGGCATAGTTTAGTCAAATCCTGAATTATGGGAGACTTACATCCACAAACTCTGGCACCCGGAAACTATAACATTATAAATGCTTTTGTTGCCCCCTGGAGTTTTATCTACCTATACTGGACACAGTTAAGGTTGAAAGCTATTTAGAAGTGTTGGATTTATAATAAAATTAATATGACTCACCCATATGCTGTTGCTTACATAAGTAAAATTGCAATTTTCAAAATCTATGGGGGGTGGATTCATCTAGTTCTAGGACCAGCTCAAATAGGTACAGGAATGAATAAAGATCTTGACTTGTCGGAAAAGAGGGGGAAGGATGGGGAGAGTTAGTTTCACTCAGAAATCTTATCAGTGTAGGCAATGTGTTTGGCGACCTGTTTATTCATGTCTTCTATTCTCCAACTACTCTGTATTGTTTTTAGTGGCTCCAATAAAAGCTCTCTGCAGTCAGCGTTTTGATGACTGGAAAGAAAAATTTGGACCCATTGGACTCGTCTGTAAGGAACTAACAGGAGATACGGCAATGGATGACTTGTTTGAAATACAACATGCTCACATTATTTTGACTACACCAGTAGGTTCCACAGTCCAATTAATTGCATTTGATTTTTTTTTTAATGAAGATACTTAACTAGACATAAAAAAATATTTCGTATGCATGCTGTTGTTTGTGTGTAAACATTTTCCATCAGTTTCTGATGCTAGGAAATGACTGGAAAACTTCAAAATCCCTTGAAAAAAATATTTTAGCTTTATCAAGCAATTTGATTAATTTATAGTTTATCAAAATGTATTATGTTTGTTTTGTGTGGCATTGTATGAGAAACCTTTATTCCTATGCCAAATTTCATGTGCTCTGATAGTATCATTTAAACAATAATTCATTTTAAAAACTTAGGAAGGAGAATTAAATTGCATACTTTATTGGATTACGGTAAAAGATTTACTGCTTGGGGGTTTGATCTACACCATTTCTAACATAAAAATGTCCTTAGCTTGGAACAAGGACCTACCAGAGTAGTCTTTTACTTCAGCATTGAATAGATTGATAATAGCATTCTTTTCATAAGAATAGCAATATACATCACCAAATACTATTCTCAGAAAATCTCATTAAAAGTTAACGGAGGAATGATAGTGGAGGACTGCACCATTAATATGAATAATAATAATTATTATTTTGTTTGTTTTTCTACTAGGAAAAATGGGATAGCATGACTAGAAAGTGGCGAGATAACTCTTTAGTTCAACTAGTGAGATTGATCCTCATTGATGAGGTAAAGTAATAACAAGTTTTTTTAAAATGCAAGTGATTGAAAGCAGGGCATTGTACTTCATATACAATTGTGTTTAACTCAATAGGTACATATTGTGAAAGATGAGAGCCGTGGTGCTACTCTTGAAGTTGTTGTCAGTCGGATGAAAACTATTCAGTCTTCTCTTTCACGTGGCTTCGAGAATCCTGACGCAGTACTTCTCATGAGGTTTGTGGCAGTTTCTGCCACAATCCCAAATGCAGATGATGTAAGCAAAGTTAATAGCATTTTATTTCTAGAATTCAAAATGCTGAGGTGTTTTCCCCCATTCAGCTACACACATACACACACAGTACAAAATGAGATAAGTACCGTCATTTGTCCACCGACCCACAACAAACATGAATAAGCTAGGATTGCCATATTTCAAAAAGTAAAAACCAGGACACTCTGAAAGTTGTTGAGCTTTCCCCCCTCAGAATCTATTGATTGCTCACACCTCAATGCTAGAATACATACCTTGCATTCTGCTGGACTTAGTTTCAATCCCTGGCATTTCCAGTTAAAGTAGGGATGGGGAAGCTGTGACACTTTTCTTGTTTTGGACTACAATTCCCATCAGTCTGGGATATGTTCATGAAATATACCCCCCCCCCCCCGGCACAATGCAGTACTAGGCAATGCTGAGTACATAGCATCCCGCCTTTGATCATAACGTATAACAAGCCCTCTCTCACAGAGGGAAATGTCTGCCCTATCCACAGGAACCCTTTGTCAGTATTATGTGGTCTAAAGTACAGTAAAATTCTATGGCAATTATATTCATAACAGAGAAGAGCACATTGAATAACCAACACAGTATTTGTGTCAGTAGAACTTCCATGACTTAAACAGCTCTGCTTGAGCAAGTACGTTCAGGATTTCAGCCCAAGGCATTATTTTCCAGCTTCAAGCCTAACATGCTCTCTTTTCTCTTTAAAGATTGCAGAATGGCTTTCAGATGGCAAGGGGCCTGCTGTATGTCTGAAAATAGATGAAAGACACCGACCAGTGAAGCTTCGCAAAATCGTGCTTGGATTCCCCTCCAGTAGCAACCAAACGGAATTCAAATTTGACTTAACACTTAACTACAAAGTAGCTAGTGTTATTCAAACGTATTCTGAACAAAAGCCAACCCTTGTGGTATATATTGTGCCTTTCCCTTGTGATTGTAATGTTCTCGTGTATATTCTAGCATTATTAGTACAAACAATGGGTTTTCATGGGTTTTTTTATTTACAGTTCTGTGCCACAAGGAAAGGAGTACAGCAGGCGGCTTCTGTCCTAGCAAAAGATGCAAAATTTATTATGAGTCTTGAACAGAAACAAAGGTACCTTTTTATAAGACAAGCTTGCTTTTAATATCTATCTCTTTGTATTCAATGACATATGTAGCAAAGTTGTGGAAATCTATCCAATTTATAATGATATGTTTATAAAATCAGTAGCCCCAAGGCTTGTAGCTTATAGTCTCTTATGGTGACGAGATAACAAAACCTACCCCAATATGCCATTTGTCACTAAAAGTGACTTTGCTAAGGATACTTTTCATTTATCATGTGTTTCAAGTGGCTGTTTGGAGAATATGAGTACATATGTGTACAGTAAAGCATGCGCTTACCATTGATGTTTGCTCTAGGCAGTTTTCCCTTGAATATCTGGAGTAGATTGTTCATCTATGATCTGCATAGGGCAGTGTCCATATGAATCTCTTGGCATACCCATGACAGGGATGTAGATACCAAGTACAGTTTTTGCCCAGTCGCCACAAAATTGTCCTATAGATGCCCTGTAAAAGTCCACATCAATAAACTGAAGGCTGTTATTCTGATCAGAAAACTGTGTTCTGTAAAACCACCATTTTTGCTCCCTTACCCCATTTTTGCTCCCTTACCCCATTTCACCTAACTTTTGTGCATTGAATGTTTATGCAGCCTGAGACTGGAAATCTGTCTGGATTTCAGTGTGAAAGCAAATACAGCCTACAGGTAGGGCAGGACAGATTTCTAGACATCCCAGTTTATGACACACGTGTACATCTAGATGTGTCTCTGCTTCTAGCACAATTCCAAATCCAGGAACGAAATCTGGGCACAGAAGACATGTGAATATTTGTTTTATAAAGTATTTTAGGCAGCACCTAAAAAAAACAAACCTGGGTGATAGACCTGGCATTGCAATGATACAAGATCTGACATTTATTATTATTAAATTGGTTGGTTGCTTTATCTTGCCCAAAGCAACTTACAACCAACCAACCAACCAACTGTAGGGATCTGTATGTTCAACTTCCTTCTCAGCCATAATGTGGGGCCCTGGGTATGCCACCATCTTTTAGCCTCCGCTGCTTATAGGGTTGTCATCAGGATAAATTAAGCCACCCAGCCCTGCCAACTGGAGCTCCTTGAGAGAAGAGTGGTAGTAAAGATAGCTGAAAACTAAGCTGGAATATATTTGGCAGGGGAAATGTTATAACTCTCAGATTAGCCTTTGATATAGAGCAGCCCCAATGCTGGCTGAAACTTAGTAGGAAGTTGAAGATTCTCGCATGAAGAATTATGATGCATCTTTATTGAAGCAGGTGTACTGACAACACATCAGGTATTAGACTGCTGTAATCTATTTTGACTTGAAGCCTAATTTCTAACAAAGGTTTTCCTAGATGTATATCCCTTCTGGAAAGCAAAAACGTATTCGCTGGCCCTTGCAATAAGGACGGGCAGGCAAAAGAAGAAGATGTCGCTGCTTGAGAAGAGATATGAGGCAGTAAAAACAAGAGGAAAAATCATACTCCTTCACTGTCCTGAATATCTGAATGGGATAGTTTGTTCTTCATGTATGATGAAGTCCAGTAGCATAAGACAGTTTTATAAACAGAGCTATTCTGGATATTGTTACTTGGGCCATAGAAAATTCTGAGTCCACAATCCAGTGTTCCCTGCCCCCCCCCCCATTTGATACTTGAACTTTCCTAGGGATAATTTTTATGTTTTGATATTTCACAAAATTCAGTTCAAAGGGTTTAAATAATGGTATAGATCATTACTCAAGCAAGAAATATGTGCAATTGCTATCGATGGTTTTTGCATGGTGTTTTATTTATTTTTAATTCTGATACACACACTCTCTGTTTCAGATTACAAAAGTCTGCAAATTCAGTAAAAGAAGCCAGACTGAGGGGTATGCAGTGTATACTAATTGCAGAAAAGTTAATGTATTTGTCCCAAGATGTTCTGGTAATGTTCTGGGTCTAATTTTCATTTATAGATCTCTTGACCTATGGAGTAGCTTATCATCATGCTGGAATAGAGGCATCTGATAGAAAAATCATTGAAGCAACTTTCAATATGGGAGTCTTGCCAGTTCTTTGTGAGTACAAAGCATATGAGAACAAACAGTGTAGAAACCATATTGCAGTAAGAGGGATGGGGTTGCAAAAACCCAATTTGCGACCATTTCAACAATAATGTTTACAGAAATAATACTAGTTTGAGAAATAGTTGATAAAAGTGAACAGTTCCATGGAGTCTGGTGAATCTGCATTTTTAAATGTGTGTTGGTGGCCATCTCCACATCTTGCAGAAACAAAATTTAAAAACTCCTTCATTTTGCCCATCCTAAGCTGCCACTACTCTGTGCTTGGGTGACCCTGAATTGTAATATTTAGGGAAGTTTCAAATGACTGATGTTTTAATGTATTTTCAATCTTTTGTTGGAAGCCGCCCAGAGTGGCTGGGGAAACCCAGCCAGATGGGCGGTGTAGAAAGAAATTATTATTGTTGTTGTTGTTATTATTATTATTATTATTATTATTATTAAGAAAAATCTGTACTACTTTTTCTACACCATGTATAATTTTATGCACCTCTCTGATGCACTCTTTACTTACCCCTTTTCTAAACCAAGAACCTTTAACTTCTGTAACCTTTCCTCTTACTGAAGCTATTTCAACCCTCTGATAATTTTAGTTGCCCCTTTTCTGTAACTTTTTGAGGTCTACAATATCCTTTTTGAGATGCAGTGACCAGAAACATACACAGTATTTCTAGTGTGGTTGCACCACAGACATCACAGAACTTTCAGAACGATATGGGTGGGGACTCAAAGGAAGCATGTGACAACAACCAGTTTTTGGATGTTCATGTGTAATGAGAGAGAGAGAGATATGAATGGATCGTATACTGGGAATAGTCAGAACACTACAGAATTGTACTTCATGTCTGTTGCTTTATGAAACATCCAAATTCTTTGAAAAACATTTAAATGTTTGCAGTTACTACAAGTACACTTGCTATGGGTGTAAATTTACCAGCTCACCTGGTAGTTATAAAATCAACAATGCATTATGTTGGAGGAATGTTTCAGGAATACAGTGAAACGGACATTTTGCAAATGATTGGGCGAGCAGGAAGACCTCAAGTAAGTTGAATCTGTTATTTAAAGCCATTTTTTATTATAATCGTAGCAAAAGTTGCCATGCACTTACAGAGGCAATGTTACAAAAATGATAAGTGAAAATTTTGTAGTTATAGTTGCTTGTGAAGTTTGCACAGTAGAGTTTATTGCTGAATAATTAATATAGCCTTGTTTACTAGGAAATGTAAAGTTGATGCTACTGGCTTCAGTTTGCAAGCTGAATTAGCTTCCAAGTTATTTATTTAAGAAATATCGACCAAATATCTTTTTTTTAAAAAACAACCATCCCACATCTACAAACAAAATCAAACCTAAACACTCTTCTACAAAAACCAACAATTCACAGGATATTTCACATTTGAAAACATCTAAACACGGTATAAGTTTTATAAACCATTCTTGCTTTCTTTTGATATACTGGATCCACATCTATGGGAAACAAATGTAAGAAATACAGAGGCATACCTAGGAGTTGGTGAAACCAGTCCCCGCTAGTGGCACAGGCCAGCACAAAAATCACCTATTAGACTATGGAGAATACGACATATATTTGTGTGGTGCTGCACAGCTGCTGTTGTGGCGAGATCAGACGTGGGAGAAGCTTCCTGTCCTCCTTGCACTGCAGCTCAAAGGTGTATGTGGTAAAGTGATTTCTTATGGGGGGGGGGAGCACCAATACAGTTCCTTGTGCAAGGGACCCTAGGTAGTCCTCTGCGTAAACAGGGTTCTGCAGTCCTGCTCCCACCCTCCCAAAAACATGAAATGCAATGAGCAAGACAGACAAAATTAGTTGGAAAGAGGCCAGGATCTCTTTCATTTTCAAGGCTTTTGTTGATAATTTGTTGACCACCCCTACCTGTCTGGAGTCGGACTAGCCCTCTGCCTTGCATACCGGGCTCTGGGAAGGTTGTGCGAGAGCCCTGCGACAGGCCCTTGTGCTTACTTCCCAGAGGCTAGTAAGCAAGGCAGAGGGCTTTGAAAGCAATTTCCGCAATGGATTTCCTCATCTATCTATCTGTCTATCTATCTATCATCTACAGTTGTACCTTGGTTTGTGAATGTCTGAGGTCCAGCGCCAAGGGCCTTCTGGTGGTTCCCTCACTGCGAGAAGCCAAGTTACAGGGAACGCCCTCCCACCAGATGTCAAAGAGAAAAACAACTACCAGACTTTTAGACGACATCTGAAGGCAGCCCTGTTTAGGGAAGCTTTTCATGTTTAACAGACCACTGTATTTTAATATTTTGTTGGAAGCCGCCCAGAGTGGTTGGAGAAACCCAGCCAGATGGGCGGGGTATAAATAATACATTATTATTATTATTATTATTATTATTATTACGACTTGAACATTTTGGCTCCAGAATGCCACAAACCTGGAAATGAGTGCTCCGGTTTGCGAATGTTCTTTGGAACCCGAACATCTGATGTGACTTCTGAATGGGTGCAGGAAGCTCCTGCAGCCAATCGGAAGCTGCACCTTGGTTTTCGAACGTTTTCAGAAGTCGAACTGACTTCCGGAACGGATTTTGTTTGAGAACCAAGGTATGACTCTATCTATCTATCTATCTATCGGCCATACACCTAAGGTTATGATTGCATAAGTAAATTACGCATAAGTGGTGGTCCCACTGTACAAAAGAACCAGGCAGATAGGGATACCCTCATGCCCAGAATTTTGATCTGTCTAAATATTTCAGTGATTGAACTTCACGTTAGTTGATAGTCCTATATTTTTCACTGCCATAAAAATGTTCCATTACTGCCTACTCGGTTTAAAGCATTCTTCTATATATATATTTCCTCCCCAGTTTGATACAACAGCCACAGCAGTTATCATGACAAGGATAAGTACTAGAGACAAGTATGTTCAGATGTTAAATGGTGCAGATACAATAGAAAGCAGGTAACTTGAGCCATTTTTCTGTATGTTGTTGGAATTACAGTCTAAAACACATTTGTTTATCTTGAAGAAATTTATCTGATGGATCATGAGGATAGGCCTATGGGGAAGCTAGAAAATCTTTATATTCCCAGCATGTGGGGAAATAGTAATCAACAAGACAAACAAAAATCCACACCAGCGTTTTCCTTGATTCTTCTATAATAATCTGTGTAGAACGGAAGCAATTTTGTGTTGCAATCCTTCATATGGTTATATGCTTCTAGGTCCCATTTATATAATTGTGTGCAGTACTGCAGTGTTTAATTTGAAATTAGCGAACTAGAAGAAGAAAATAAACACAAGCACCCTTTTCTCTCTAGAAGGGCAAAGAGCAGCTTTAGAGATGATAGGATAGGGAGATTCAGATTTGGAGAAAGAGTCTAGATTCTGGGCCCCTTGTGCCTGCTTTTAATTAAAAATTAAAATGCTGGGAGAAAAGCTGAACAGCATGTGTAATTTGCTTAGGTTTGCACTCCTAGAATAATTTCAGGTTTTTTTGTGTAATTTCTGTTGCACTTAAATTTTGGCAAATCAGAAGCTTCCCAAATTAGAATTCACAGTAAAAATGACATTGTATTATTCACTTTGACTCAACATAGGCAATTTGTGTGTGGAAACAGGTTTCCACACACAGAGCTCTTTGCTGGAGCTGTACTTTGCAAGTCCATTTGGATGGGAAATCCCAGCTGTTGGAGGCACGTATAGTATCAGACAGGGGATCAGACCATCCCTTAAGGGTGCATGTGTGTTGATATTCTTGTACACAGCAATGAACATTTAACCTAATAAGCGAAAATTTAATTGAGGCTTTCTTAAAACTTTCTTATTGTATTGTTTTACTATTGAGAGTTCCTAGGATTAATTTTCAGTGAAATGAGTGCTATCTGATTGGTGTCCCTCAGCTAATGGATGGCTCATTGATGTGGAAACTTGCATTGTTGAATTAATGATCGTTGGTGATTCACACACCCCTACCCTAAATCTGCTATGGAAGGTTGGGTGGTGGTGGACTGTAGAGGATGAGTGGGGGATCGCTGAAGGTTGCCTTGGTTCTCTGTTCTGGAGCTGGTGGACTCCGCTAAAATGAAAGAACACTGGCCTGATCCTGCATCTAGTCATTTAGTCCAGCATCTTGTTCTTAGAGTGGTCAACTAGATGCCTATGAAGAACCTTCCATCAGTGAAGAGGCACCAATTGGACGCAACCTCTCAGAAAAGAGCTTTCGAAACTGTATGTTGCGACACATTCATGTGTTGGCTGCAGTGTGTAGATGTGTTGGGCGAACGCTCCCTGCACTCCTCCCGGGGCTGGAAAGGAGTTAAGTTTAACCTCTGGTTTTTCTTGTAAAACTGAATTACTGTATTGTGAAATGATGCCTGTCTAAAAAGTGTGTCACCAAGCTGAAAAGTTTGGAAAGCTCTACCTTAGAAGCAATAAAAGAACTATTGGGCTGGTTAGCAACTAATTCTTAATAAGGATTATAATTTGTACTGAGCAGGAGCTGATGGGCCAGCAACATTTGCTGTGCCCACTGACTCGCTCCCATGTTAAATAAGGCTCAAGTGGATACCTTCTTTAATTGCTTTTACCCAGCGTGTAAAGCAGCAGTGTTTGTGTGTTTTGTGGACTTCTTCGCTTATACATCTTCAGCTGCCATCTCCCATACTCTCATGGAAGTGAGAAGCAGAGGTGCATAAGGGTAAAGGAATTTATAGAGCCTCAACATAATAGAGGAGTGTGGTGATTCCTGGAATTGAGGGCTATTCTAGTAGCCAGATGGGAAGATGGAGGTGATGGATTTTGCCCCCAAACCTCTAGTTGCCTAATCTATTTTAAGAATGCAATGTACTGCTTGCCACTGGAAGACTTTTAGTATGTTTCATTTGTATGCATTTGCTTTCTGGTTTTCTTAGTCTGCACACACAACTCATTGAACACTTAAATGCTGAAATTGTGCTCCACACCATCACGGATGTGAACATAGCTTTGGAATGGATACGATCAACTTTCCTTTACATCAGAGCTTTGAAGAATCCAGCTCACTATGGTTGGTTACTCTTAACGTTTTCTGGACTTCAGTGTTCAATTAAAACATGCTACGATTTGGCATAATAAGGTCTGTTGCAATAAAATAGTCACATCTTGGGAAATAAATTAGGTATATTGAGAAATTACAGGAAAGATTAGTGGCATCTTCTTTTGTCTTATATGAGTTCTCATTTTCAGTAGAGATTTTGGCAATGAAAACTTTTGAAGCCTTTTCATGAGTTGTGCTCAAATCCTTTCTACCTCATTTTGTCATAATCACATATACCAGCGTCATTGCATTTGTCTTCCTAATATGCCCCCTTTTCAAGTTCTGTGCATATCTTATAATAACAGAGCCTGAAGTTCTCTTAGTGCTTTCTGATGAATATCAAGACTTTAAATTTTCTGTGTTAATATTTGTCTCTTCAGCTAGCTTTATTTTATTTTTTACTTTATCCCTTCCCTTCCCTTCCCTTCCCTTCCCTTCCCTTCCCTTGAAAAGAGAGACTCTCCCGGTAGGCTAATGTGCAATGGAAGCAAAATGGTTAGCTGCAAGAGGTCATCTACATAACCTGTAGCTACTGGATGCCACATCCATGAGTACAGTATTGGCTTCTGTTTGGAAGAAACTGCAGAAGCCAGTAGATCAGAATATTTCTGAGAAAGCCAAAAAGGACAGATACAGGCATAGTGGATGAACACCAGGGGGATCTAGCAACAAGGCTGAAGTAGTGGAGTAAAGCATAGAGATACTGTGGGATAAATCAGCTTCATACAACCAACATGCTTAACTCTAATTAATGCATGAAGGCGTTAAGACCATAGAGTAAGCTATTCTGCCAGGCTTAGCTACGTCACTCCCCCTCACCTTGGGAGGAAGGGTTAGTAAACTCTTTGTTCTCCATTCTGCCATGTGAACCCTACCAGTGAGGAGGTCTAAGCTGGATGTTGTGTGACTTAAGCAAGCCATATTTGTGTTTCTGTACAAATGATTTAGAAACATTTACCATTTTGGAACATAAGTTATACTACCTGTCTTTTTTTTGCTGCTGTATGGAATAGCACATGAATATGACCTTTGAAGAGTTTGTAAGTAAACCATTTTTGACATCCTAAAAACGTGGTCTCTTTCTATGCTAGGGGAAGTGGGGAACTTTGAAAACAACTTAGAAGGGAATTCTAACAGCCTATATTTCCATGCTTTACTTTGCTTCATGTTTTGTGATTTCAAATTTCTGCTGGGGCTCTCTCACCAAAGAGTACTTGTCCCGAGTCTTGATCTAGGCATTCAGTGAATTTTCCTTTTATTACACCATATATTTTATTCTTTTCCTTTTTACCGAAAACCAACATATACAACATTAAAAACAAATAAAAACAGAAATTCACTAATAACTGGGTGTGGTATTAGACGTCAGGGAAATCCTGAGCAAAAATATGTATTTACAATATTTCTGAAGCAATGGATGGATAACATTTCAGTGTAGCAGAGGGAAAGACATTCCACAGTGTAGAGTCAATGGTGGAAAATGCCTTGCAATATTCTGTAGGCTGCGGTTCCATGAGTAAAATTTCCCCAAATGATCAAAGTGATCTTATAATCAATACAGGGGCAACTGGTCTCAGGCAACCTAGTCTCAAGTTGTTCAGGGCTTTGTAAAAAGACTTTGAACACGGCCCAGTAGCTGATAGAAACATAATGAGCACACAAAAAGGTGGTGCTGGCATTTCACCTCCACTTGTCAGTATGAAGTCGCAAGTCTGCTTTTAAAAGAAATACAATTCACATTTATTAACCACCGTGTGACAAATCACTTTTGTGAAGTAGTGTGTGGCATTTCTAGTTTTCTGTTAAATAGACTTGTTTTTATAGAGGATCAAAAAAGAACATTAAAATTCAGAAAAACATTTCCTATCAAGTGAAAAGAGATCTATTTCCCCCCTGAAGGCAGAGTTTCTGCTTCTGCACTGATCCTACTTGCTGTCAACACCACAGCATAAGGCATTCTAGGGTGTTCAGCACAGTAGGATCTCTCTGTACATGGAACATCTGCTTTTCAGAGCTGTGAAAGAAAGGAAAGAAGTGGTAAACGGAATAGTTGCTTTGTTGAAATGCCCTTAAATGATAGCAGTTAGGACATTTAGCACCTTTCTCTACATCTGTTTTCACACTGACTTTGATTCTTTCAAGATACAGGTGAAGCCATTTTATTAGTAAATGGGAAAACAATCACAATAATAAGCTACTCCTTAAAACAAAGGTGCATACAGTATTTGTTAGAGCCAACAGAATTGCAGGATGAAGATTTATCCAATTGTTTTCTTCTGATTTATTTATGTAGTAAGACACTGAAGAAATATCATTGGGAGGCAATAATACATTCTGCATTGGCAGATATTTTAAGCTAGGAAAACAAAAAATAAGGGTTTTTCTAAGCCTTTGCTTTCATTCTTATTCCAGCTTCTTATGCTGTGTGCTCATAAATAATCAGTGTATGGTATAGTTCATCAACACAAAAAGGACCGTTTCAGAGCTGTGACAGGAGAACAACACCCCCAAAGAATTCTGGGAACTGTAGTTTACCCCTCCCAGAGATACTATTCCCAACACCCTTACAAACTACAGAATTCTTTTGTGGGGGAGAGGGATGTGTTTTAAATGTACAATACAATGAATATACAACCCCATTCAGCCTACTTAACTCCAATTCTGGGTGCTAATTGAATATTGTTATCCCAATTAGTATATATGTTAGATTTGAGATTGATTATATATCTGTGTAATATTTTATGCCAAAAAAATTGGGTTTATGTATACAGTTTGTTCTAGCTCTTTTATATATGTGAGTCTTTCATATATGTGTTTTTTGCATTGTAAATCACTTAGAGATGCCTCATAGGAAGTGATTCATAAATGAAATAAACAATAACAGCAACAAATTTAAGAAAGCATTAAACCAGATTTGGGGATTGAATATATAATTCACTAAACACTGAATCTGTATAAGCACCAATACCTTTGAATGGAGCTTATAGAAGTCCTGGTTGAGTAGCACCCCACTTTTGGTCAAGCAAGAATCAGCCTACTACTAAAGGAGACAGAAGAAGACAGAAGAACGTATACAACAAACAGCACAATAGTTCTGCACCTTAGAAACATGAATAACCCACTAGGCACATCAGGGCCCACCAGACACCCCGTTAGAATTGAAGAGCAGTCAGCCAGGCTATGGCCTTGGATGCATCTTAAATCTCAAAAACCCCTTTATTTCTCATGGCTGGTAGGTCCCCATATATGTTCATTATATAAATATATTGTTTTTAGATTTCTAGTGCATATAACAGCTGAGAGTTCTTACAAATTAAAGCCATAATCAAATGCAAATGTTTCCATTGATGAAGGTTTTCCAACTGGATTGGACAGAAGTGGAATTGAAGCAAAACTGCAAGGTTAGACACTTTCCACCATGCTTGAAAAGACCATGCATTTTACATAAGTTCCTATGTGATCTATTAAGCCTGTACATCCTTTCTTCTTTATACCATTTATCAGTAGCAGCTTTGTTCAAAGTTCAGGTAATACTTGCGTAAGTTGTTAAATAATCTTTTCACCTGACTGACATATCCATCTAGATTCCATTTCAGATCTATGGCTTTCCTCACAACAAAGTAAGATGTAAAATGAAAGTACAGGCATTTTAAAAATGGCTGAGATAGGCAGCAGGTTACCATGCAAGGTCTTTACCATTTTTTAAAAAGTTTAAGCTGGACCTTGTTTGATTTGTTATTGTTGGCATCCATCTGTCTTGAGAAACAATGGAATGCACATCTGAAGGTGAAGTTAAACCACTGGAGAATCACAGTACCTGCTGTGGCTGCAGAAACCAGTAACTTGTAATTGCTGCCTCCCACTTCTATTGTGTGCTGCAGCACCAAAGTGACCTCTCTGGGACTCAACCCTGGGCAGTGTGTATGGAGGTCCTGGGCTGCCCAGAAGACAAGACCCACATCTTGGCCTCACTGATGTGTTCCAAAGGAATACATCTGGCACCGGCTTGTCTACAGGAGATGGCAGAAGGAGGCATACAAGATGCCATCCAATCATCTTAGGGAGTCTACTCTGGATTTATGTAGAGTTTACTCCTTAGCCCTTCTCCCAAAGATATGCCTCAAGGCAGAGGAGGTTTAGGACCAGAGTTTTCCTTCTCCTAGATGGGCTACCTTCTCAGGTTGACGAGCCCCATCTGCCCCTCACTTCTTTCTGCAACATGTGCAGTAATGGCCTTCTTGACTGTTGGACCCAGTATTATTCTTGTCTGCTCAATCTGCAGGAGCCTGTCTTCACATGCAGGGGAAGTCCCTAACTCACCAAGGGTTTGATTAAAATATGTTAGTTATTGAGAGCACAGTCCAGCAACTACTACTTGCCAATTTTAAACTTGTATTGATATCAATAGAAGACTTAAGCTTGTTTAAATTTCATATCAAATTCCATGAGACCCAAAAGTGCTTAATTTTAGCTGGAACGTGGCCTTAGGTACGTACCAAACTTTTTTCCCTACATGTACTAACAATTATTTCTCCTACTTGAACAGAATTATGTTTGAAGAACTTGAATGATTTATCTGCATTTGATTTGATCAAGATGGATGATAAACTCTATTTCAAGCCAACAGGTAATACTTAAAACTTACAAAAGTGAGAAGCTTATTTTTTTTAGTGTTTAGAATGTTTTCTGGATAGGGCACTGCCTCTGTTATGGCTAGGGCCCTAGATATTTTAGGGGTTCCTTTCCTGTCATTCCTTACGATTTCCATGATAAGAGCAGCCTCTTGCTGACACATCTATGTTGCAAGCGTGTACTAGAGAAAATAGAAAATGGCTTCAAATCAGGTGCATTAAGAGGTTAAGAACTGGTGCCAGTAAATACATGCCCAAAGGCTGTGGTTTAAAACACATTCAGGATTAAATTGTCCCACTAGTGCTCAAAGTTCTTCTGAGGATTGTGGAGTTCAGCCACAGAATTAGTCATTAGGCAGCAAAGAATGTGAAAGCTGCAATAATGCCCATATTGGTTCCCAAGATAGACATGGTCATTAGGCCAGACCAGACAGAACTGTTGATACTGCTGAAGTACATTGTTGGGAGAAGTGTCCCTCTGCCACTTTATGCTAATTTGAGAGCATGGAAAGCTTTTATGTCAGTTCAGTGATTTCATAGTTGTAAATGGGAACAAATTTTCCCTTTAATATTAATACTTGAAATTCTGTTATCGGAGCAAGCCACAGTACTGTTGTTAAATCTGCTTAATGATGTGTTGTCTCCGCTCTCTAAAGGTGAGTAATTAAAAACTGGTAAGTCTGCTCAGGGTTATGATATGCAGGGAGAAAAATGGATGGAACACTACACCTGACTCACCAGAGTGCTAAGTGCTTTATATTTCTTTTCCTACAGAAACTGGACGACTAATGGCTTGGTATTATATTGCATTTGACACCATGAAAAAGTGTTTTACGATTCATGGAAACGAGACTTTACAAGAACTGGTAATTTTGTTACACAAATGAAATATGAATATCGTGAGCAGAAGGAGGAAAGGGTTTGTTGCTGTTTTGTTAGCTCTTGCGCAAGCTGGTGGAAGGCATCTTGTAGTGTAGCATCACATTGTACCAGGCATACTAGATGAGGAGGGCAGGGATGACTGGGACTTATAGTTGCTGAGCGGACCTGAGTGAAGCCTGACTCCCACAGGTCCGTTTGTTGAGCCATGCCCCCCTAAGGCTGCTGCGGATTGGCTCTTTTGAATCAGTGGATTTGGCGGGAACCCGTGAGCCTCCACGGTGGCCGAGGGGGACGTACTGCGCTCAAAGTAGCACATTGCATCCAAGCAGCAAGGGAAGCGCTGCGTCGGGCCGCAACCACCGCTCACCGAGGAGGTACGCTAAGTGACCGTTCTGAAATCAGGCGAGACTTTCTACTAGCAGAAGGGCACTTTTGGATCCCAGCTGTTCCATATAATCCCATTTTAAATTTATACTTTACATAGTCATGAAGACTTAAATCCCATGGCTAAGCCTGAATCCAACCCTGTTGTGTTCCATTAGGAATAGCGTTACAGTGGTACCTCGGGTTAAGAACTTAATTTGTTCCGGAGGTCCGTTCTTAACCTGAAACTGTTCTTAACCTGAGGTACCACTTTAGCTAATGGGGCCTCCCACTGCCGCCGCTGCGCAATTTCTGTTCTCATCCTGAAGCAAAGTTCTTAACCCAAGGTACTATTTCTGGGTTAGCAACGTCTGTAACCCTAAGCGTCCATAACCTGAAGCATCTGTAACCTGAGGTACCACTGTACCTGTTTTAGAATTTCTTTTATCTGTTTTTGTAATGGTAGATTAAATAGCTATAACCCAGCCTGGGACCTTATGGTGAAATGTGGTGAAAGGTGGTTAAGAAATCTTACTAATTAATTAATTAATTAATTAGTCCATTCATATTACCACAGTATATTTTATAAAAAGTTCCTCCCACCATTTGCCAGACTTCGTAAATCAGATATTGCAACACTTCCCAATTAAACTTCTTAAAATAATCATTTTACATTAGTTTTGGAGTGGGTACAATCCCCCCCCCCATCTATCTCATTCTGACTTAATTTATTTTTCATTGCTTGTTTACACTGATGTTGTTCTGGCCTAGCCACTGATCACTCCTTGTAGTCTGTCCTGTATATGCTAGAAATATATTGTAAAGGGCTGATTTCCTAACCAGCGACTCAGCTACATTAGCAAAGAAACAGCGATTTGAATGCATTATAAACATGCAACACCAGCTGGTGCAAGAGAGCAGGAAATTATTGTATGTGATTTTCCATAAGGTTTTTTCCCCTTTGCTATAACGATTTAATTTCTGACTTATTTATAGTGGTTTTTTCCCCTGTGTGTAGATCCATCCCAGGTTTCATACACATGAACAATATACGGTTTACACACTGTGGTTTGCATTTAGCTGTACAATTGAACATTGAACACAATAATTTAATCCTGGTTTGCAATCCTAGTTTTCAGGGCAACCCCAATCATACTTTTCTGGTTTGATTGTGCTAGCAGTCCTGAAAGGCCTTATGAGGTATCAAAAGTAATACTGCTGTGCTTAAAATATAATTTAAATGTTTAGAAAAGGCCAAGATGGGAGAATTTTGAATAAATGAAAGAAACTATTGCAGGTCACATTGATCTCCAGCTGCAATGAATTTTCAGACATCAAGTTAAGAACAAATGAGAAAAAAATACTGAATACTTTGAATAAAGACAAGAACAGGATAAGCATAAGGTACAAGGTGATATGTTCAAAAAATAAAGTTTAATTTTGATTATAGACCACTGTTGCTGTCCTGCACACAGTTACATAGGTTTAAAATCACAATTTCAAATACTACTAATTCCAGTTGCCACAGGAGATGTAAGAAGAAACTACATGTGGTCAACATTTGGCTGGGTGTAGCAACTACTTGTTCTGACAGGTATTACAATCCACTTGAGAGCACCATGCCAACACCCTTCCTTTGCTGCTACCCCTCACTCATTCTTCAAAGAAATGACAAAACAAGGGAATTCGCAATTCTTTGTTTCCCCCTCATGGTGCAAGAAGAACCTTAGTGCATGCTGGAGCGTCAACTGGTGTGGCGGGGGGAGACACACTGAAAGAACTGGACTCAGGCTGTGTGACTGCTTTTAGTTAGCACTTGTCCAAACCGACAGTTGCTACATCTAATCAACTTTTCTGCCCATGTGTAGGTTCTTCTTAGGTCTAGTGTATGAACTGTGTCTTAAGTTATTCTGATTTCAGCAGAACTTCGTTTACGTGTACTTAAAACTGGCTTCTGCAATTAGTGGCACAATGTCAAATGCAGTCCCGGCAAAGTGGCCTGTCAGGTGCTTGATCATCCCATTGTTTGCTCCAGGTAAGCAGCAATACCAGGAGCATTATAGACCCATTTATGGCTGGTGGGCTGCATTTGGCTTTGTGGATCTCTTAATTCTTCAGGCCTTGTGTAGGTCACTAACTAAAACAATCATGTATATATCATTGCATGTGATCATTCTAGATGTACATTGCTGATAGTTCCTACAGGCTAGACAGTGTGTCACATTTGAAGCCATTGTTTGTCATTGGACCATTAAGATGGGAGTAAGGTCCCAGTCTTATGGAAGAAAAAGTGATATGTTGTGTTTCATATACAGATATCCAATGGAAGGAAAGATAAAAACAAGAGAAATGAAAGTGAATTGGTAAGCATTTAGGCTCTCCTATTTTAAAAGAGAAATAGAGCAGCCACTCGCTGCTACTTAAGACAATGATAAAATTCTAGGTCAGTTATTCCTGAAGAATCACTTCTTTTTTATATATAATAATTTTCATTAAATTTTCAATTTTACAGTTTCAAATAAACATTTTGCAAACTTTAAAATATCTAATCGCTTCCCCTTTTCACTATCCATGGTTCATTTTACATATTGTACATACCTGCATATTTTACTATAACCATTTCAATCAGTTTTCCCCTTTTACATCCATCAAAAATTATTTACTCCTTTGAATTTACCTTAATGCTGCCAGCGTTTTCAGCTGTATACAGTTATTTTCCATATACTCAATAAATGTTTTCCAGTTTTCTTTAAGTGTATGTTCTTCTTGCTCTCTTATTCTGTATGTTAAATCTTCAAGTTGTGCATATCCTGTAAAATCACTTCTTAGCTTTCTATATACTCTAGATTTTATCCTGACCTTGATTCCACCCCCCTTCAGTAGTTGACATGACTGAAATGTTTAAAATCTGTTTTGATAATTTGAATGATTCACTATTTCTTTTGCAGTCTTATTCAGGCGCATCTAGGATGCATTCCCATACAAGATTTCACATTGACACAAGATATAGGGAAGATTTTCAGAAATGGCATAAGGCTTACAAAATGTATGATAAAAGATCATTTTTACTTTTGGATTATTTAAAAACAGTCTGTCTTGCAAGATTCCCCTCCCCTCACCTGTATGTTTGTTGTCTTGTGCAGGGTTGTCTGAATTTCTGGCCTCCCGTCAAAACAACTTTATTGCATTATTAAGCTCTCTGATTTTAGCCAAGTGCTTCAGGTGTAGACTTTGGGAAAACTCACTGTATGTATCTAAACAACTTGAAAAAATTGGTAGGTACTACAGTCAACAAGAAAGTACAATGTATAGTGAACTCAGTTACGATATATAACACCCCACGCCCAATATTTGCTGCGGAGTTCAAAGGGTCATATGGGGAATTTCTGCATCTTAGGTCCCAACCACACTGTATAACTAAAGCAGTATCATTATCACTTTAAACAGCCATGGATTCCTCAAAAGAATAATGGAATTGTATAGAGTTGGAAGGGACCCTGAGGGTCATCTACAGTAGCCTGAGGTCCATGGGAAGAGAGATTCACTGTTAAACCACTCTAAGAACTGGAGCTCTGTGAAGGGAATAGAAGTCTGCTAACAACTTCTTAGAACCCTTAACAAATGATAGTTCCCAGAATTCCATAGCTGGGAGAAGCCATAACTGTTTAAAGTGATACTGCTTTAAATGATGGTGCCTTACTGAGGCTTTTGACACACCTAAGAAATGAGACCTCTTTTTAAAACAGCTGACTCCCAGACATGGGGAGATGCTGCAGCAGTCTCTATTTGTACACAAAAAGCAGCAATTGGAAAAGAAAACCAGAGATGCTTCAATGTATGAACATATGCACTTGAGCGTGCTCACAGCATCTCTTTGGATCCCAGCCTTTGCTTTTGGCCTGAGCGCAATTTGATACTGGCAAGAATTAACACACGCAGAAAGTGGAAAAGGCACATGTAGTAGATTAGGCATCCAATCCTTGGGCGTAAGCGCCATTGAGCCCAGTTGGATTTATGGTAAATATGCACAGGATTTCAGTGTAAATCAGTCAAGTCAGCCCTTGTTGTAAATAGGCAGAAGTTTGATCTTTACCTCCTATAGCCAGAACTTTGAACTATGACAGGTGCATGCCAGCAACATGGCAAATTGTGACAGAAATTCAGCAATCCATCTCTGTTTCTCATAATCCACCTATAATTGATGGCCATTGCTATAAGGTTTTTGTCTTTAATTTTTACTTCTTGCATAAGTCTGTTCAGAAAATGAAACTTGAAGGAGAATTGTGCCAATGTTTTGAGATCTATTTGGTGTAACCCTCTTCAAATGTATTTTAAATGCCATTTTATATTTGCTTGCCTTTGGTGAAGATAATGATAATTTATTATTTACTACAGTATTTGTAAGAAAATGCTATTAGTAAAACAAAAAACAAAACAAAAACCAATTAAGACTGCGATTTTCAACAGGTATGACACTGTCAAGTGCAATGATGAGCGCTGGTCTGGTATCCTTTGAAAAAATAGAAGATATAAATGCAAGGGAACTTGAATTGGTATTTATTTTATCATCTGCCTATTTTACAATTTTGTTTAAGTATGTTTAATTGGCAGAAGGGGAAAGCAATAATGACACCACAGACGGTCAGTGATTGCTTGGATGTAGGTTAGAAAATGAGCTTGGAGCAGAATGAGCGAGACAAGTCGTTGTCATATATTTTCTTGCTTCCACAGTACTGTCATTGTTTGTGGTACCAAATACAATCACTTGAATAAAAGACTGGCTGATTATTATTATTTTTTTTTGTAAGCACGTATAAGGGCCCTGTAGATTGCAGTTACTGGAGGCTAGTGAAAAAGCAGGCTGTTAGGGTATTTTATCCTTCTATCTTTTCCATCAAAATCCAAGGAACCTGCCTCTTCTAAATCAGTGCCTGATGTCAGTAACAGACTGAATGAAGGTGAACAATCTGAGACTTAATCAGACACGACAGAGGCACTCTTGATCAGTCAGAAGGCAGATAAAGAAATAACGATTCATCCTGTGTTGGGTGGGGTTACACTTCTCTTGGAGACTCGTAGTTTAAGTATACTCCTGGATTTTGCCCAGGTTTCAATGGTGTCCAAGTATATGTTTGCACAATTATAGCTCATGTGTCAGCTGCATTAATTCCTAGCCATGATGACTGATCCCTGGGTTGCATCCTGATTGGACTACTGTAATGTACTGTATATTGGGCTGCATTTGAAAAATGTTTGAAAGTTTCAGCTGGTCTGGACGGCTGCAGCCAGACTGTTGACTACGGCTGCTAACGGAGAGCATGTCGCTCTTTTGTTAGAACAACTTCACTGGCTCCTGGTCCCTTCCCAGGCACAATTCATGACCTATAAAAGCCCCAGATAACTTGGGCCCAGCTTAACTGAAAGTTCATATTTTTCTTTACAAACCAGCCCAGGTGCTAAGCTCTTCGGGTGAGCACCTTCTCTTGGTCCCATCAACTTCAGAGGCACAATTAGTGGTTACACAACAAACAGCCTTTTCTGTGGCTACTGTCTTGTTGTGGAATTCCCTCTCTAGAGAAGTTAGATTGGCTCTCTCTTGTTATCGGTCCTCCGGCATGCTAAGATCTTCCTATTTAAACAGGCCATTGAAAATTATGTGCAGCTGATATTATTACTAGGCTGCTGTCTGAGCTATCAGTATTTTAATGGCTGTTATAAATGTGTTTTATTGCATTTTAACTACTTTTCCCTGGTTTGTTTGTATTACTTTTTATAGTGTTTGATACTATAAAATATACTATATATAGTGTTATTTAGTATATGTAAGCTGCCTTCTATCCCAACTTGGGAGAAAGGCAGACAATCAATCAATCAACCAACCAACCAACCAATCAATCAATCAATCAATCAATACTCTAACATTTGTCAGCGAACAGTTTAATTAAAATATCCCAAAATAATGTTTTTACTATTTTGATGCATTATGGGGAAATAGTTAGCAATGATAATATCAGGGGGACAATCTTTCTCAAATCGATGCTATTTTGTATTAGGATGTTTCAAAATCAATGCATACTGAATTAATATGAACTCTTTCTGAAATTAAATTTCCAGATTTTGAATAGGCACCCTCCTTTTGGAAATCAAATTAAAGAATCGGTAGCACACCTTCCAAAATATGAACTTACTGTAGAGCAGGTAAATAGAATGGCCTAATTGCATTTTTGTTCTGCCCTTCACCTCCAAAACAGTTGTATAGAGAAGGTTAAATAAAACTCTCTTCCTAAATTTCACAAAGATCGGTTCAGTTATTTAACTCTCATGACATGTGTAGTGCCCTCAATAATTACAAAGAAGGTCCTCAAGCTAAGAATTCCTAGGTTTACAGTGATTTTGTAGGAATGAAATGTGCTAACTTGGAGAGGAGGAGGAATAAGGAGCCTATAGAGAAGATCTTATAATTATAAATTGGAAAAGTAAACCTAAGACATGTTGATTTTTCTGTAAGATTTTGTCTGCACCGTGGTCCCTGTTTCTTGTAATCTCTCATTTGTTCCATTTTCTGCTTGTGCAGATTTCCTCATGTTTGCAGTATACACATAGAAAGGAAACTACACGGAGAATTAAGAAGCAAAAAATTAGGTGGTAGATCAATATTGGATTAGGCACAATACCTAGCTCAATACAATGGTAGCTTAGGGTAGATAAGTTTCTGGGTAGGACTCTCAGTTTCTCCCACAGCCTATAAACTGTCAAATAATGCCCTCTTGCAGGATTTGGCTGAACACGTGAGGGTTATGTGTAGGGGCAGGGATGCAGAAAGAAGCCCAGGACCCAATATCCTCATGCCAAGGCTCCTCTCTGAACTTTCCATGCTAATTGTGAAGGTCTGAAGGGGGCCACTTCTGGGTTCAACAGAATGCATGTAGAAGCAACTGGGGACCTTGTCTTATCAGGATTCCTGATCAAGTAGAGACTTCTAAGCACATTGTCACATATATAGAGAGAAGCCCTTCTCAAACCTTCATGCTCTGTGTGTAAAAGGCACTGTTTTGAACTAACCATGGTTTGGTGTAGTCTGAACTATGGTTTAGGGAAGAAACTCAGGATCAGAAACAACCTTTTGCAGTTGACTTGTTTCCTTAACCCTAATTAAGACTAAACACAATACTGGATTTGCACTTCACAAAACAAATATTGGTTATCTGAAAGCAGAAGTAAACGTTTTGCATCTCCTTGTGGCCAACCTGGAGGAGAGGGGAATGGGGTGTGTCAGAGCCAAACGCCGGCGTTTACAACATTAAATCATACTTTAGCAGTATGTTTGAACCCAGCCAATATATACAAAGTAAAACTGTATTTCTACATTTTGAAATAGGTGAAAAACTAGTATTATTTTAAAAATATGTATCTTTTCCAAGCTAACAAAATACAGTGAAGCCGTAGCTGAAATTCTAGTGACGGTCATATTAAAGAACTTTGAACAGCTACAGACAAAGAGAACTGCCCCAGATTTTCACTACGTGACCTTAATAATAGGAGATAATGATAATCAGGTGGTTTTTAAGCAAAAGATTACGTGAGTATACTCAAATCATTTTAAAACTTTAAAAAATTGCCCATTTGTGCATATTTAATATAGTATATTGATACTTTGCAGGGATTCCGCTTTGCTGAAAATTGGAAATTGGACTAAAAAGGTTGAAGTGAGAAGAGCTGTTAAGTCTGAAGAGCTTAGCATAAATCTAATCAGTTCTGAATATGGTAAGTTAATTTATGTGATGTAAGTCTTAAAACCAATTCTGTTCAAGTAAAACTGCATTCTATTTCTATAATATATTGCAAACTTAACGGATTGTATCCAGACTTAGCTCCCTTGACTTAAAATTGCATAACTATGCTCTCCTTTTCTATCTGCTGCCCCACTGACTGATGTAACCAGTAGGAAGCAGACCACATTCATTTGACCTGTAGCTCCTTGCAGGGGGTGGAACCGTGGCTCAGTGGTAAAACACATGAAGGTGTGGGAAGGTAAATTGCAAACATCATGTTTGCATATTCAAAATCAGCTTCTGATCCAATGTTGTGCTGATTTTAACCTCTATATGATAAAACTCCAAAGCTGTCATGAGAATACTGGATTCAGTTTGTTTCCACTGCCTTAAATACCGCTTTGTGCAAGCTGTTTCAGTGATGTCTGCAGCATTTTCTGCTTGAAAAAGACTGTTCAGCTCACACCATAAATCAGAATTGTTGCAATTTTAGCATCTAACATGCCATATTTTAAAAAGTGAAAATGGACACGACAACTGAAATGGCCACAACTCTATTGATTTCAGATGTAGGGAGCTTTGGCATAGGCATTGGGCATGTATCCCTCTCAACCCCTGCTGGGGGTCTGAGGCATGACATGGTGTATTTGGGAAGGTGGGTCCATCGCAAAACACAGGTTTACGCAGCTGGCCCCCTAAATGCTAAGGGAAGCCCTATGGCCCGCTAGCCCTACACAACTGGCTCTTTGGACAGAGACTTCCCTCCAGACCCCTCTAATGGGGTACCCTGTAACCACCGCCTCAGGATATGGGGTGGGATGAATCACCACTTCCCTCCCTACCCTAATTGGATGAAAGACTATAGGATTCCGTCCAAGGCCTAAATCGCCAAAAATGGCAAGGTGCCACGGAGTGAGTTGAGGGAGGCACTGCGTCTGGCCACGACCGCCGCTCACACGGAAAGGAGGTAAGTGGCCATTATATTTAGATAAAAAAATAAGCTGGTGAAGGAAAGACTCTGGAGAGTAGCTGTTGGTCTGACATCGGTCTCCTTTGCACTTGGGTCATAGCATTCTTTTGGTATTTTAATCTTTCAATTTATTAAGGGAGCCGAATTATATAAATACAGACATATTTGATAACTCAATAAATCATACATACATACATGTATATTTTCTGCAACAGTTGGACTAGATATCCAGAAAAAATTTAAGGCATTTTATCTTGGACCAAAGAGGTTTGGAAATGAAATGGTGAGCGTACATGGAACATTAAAAAGTGAATGTTCATCCAATCAGACTTCCTCAGAAGTATCAGCAACAGCAGAAATCAGTAAAGGTAAGTGATAGTTCCGTACTAAATAACAGATCTGAGAGGCAGGGTTGGATACAGTTGCATATATACTTGATAGCAAATCCCAGTGCAATCTTGCATAATGTGTGAATTGGCTTTAAAATGTTGATTGCAAACAAATGAAAGTGCAGCATAATCTCAGAGGATGCCTTTTCTTGCACAATGGCGCTCCTGCCACAGGGACAAATTCATCCCACACACCCCATCCCTTACCTGAAGCAGACTCCAATAGATTCCCTAAAGGGGGGCGGGGAGCAAGGAGATCACCAGGATAAGTGACCAATCACTTAACTTGGCAATTGTACCTTGGCAATTTAAGCCTGCTCTGACCCAGGACCAGCCCACCATGAGGCAAGGTGAAGCAACCACCTCAGGAGGCAGGATCCACAGGGACAACAGATCCTGATGTAGATCTTTATCCCCACCCTCCTTGTTTCTGACACGGGTCTTCATGCCATTTTGTGGTTTGCCTCGGGTTCCAAAATGTCTTGAGCCAGCCCTAGCAAATGGAGGTGGGGGCCACACAGGAAGCCACTGTGTGTAGCAGTTGACATACCCTGGGTTTGCAAGAGGGTGCTTCCCCTTTTATACGATGAATAAACTCACCTGCTTTCACTGTTTAGTTGGCTGTTGATTTGAAGATCTTAGGTTATATTTCAATAAATAAAACCACTCCACCAACATGCTGGCTCCTAAGTCTTCTTCAGGGATGTTGGGGCAAAGCCCTTATCTGCAGGGACTGATGCCCTGCTCCAAGTTTGCAGGAAACTAGAAACAATTTTTTTGGGGGGGGGCACAGTGCCTTTTTGATTGCTGCTTGGAGGCTCTGGGATGAGTTGACAAGAAGAAAAGCATCAAAAAAGAAATGCCAAGACCACCCTTTAAGCAGGCATTGGGGAGTATATCTGGGGAAGGTTTCTTTTTGTGTATAATTGCCGGATTTTTGTTGTTCTGTTTGTTGCTCCTTAAACGTTTTAAATGGTATTTTACAATCTTTTGCTTTTAATTATTATAAGCCGAGCCCCATCTTTGTTTTAAGAGGTGGGGTTAAATTGATAAATAAATGAAATAGACTTAAAGTAACATACTTAATGGCACCCCATTTCTGAATGTACTTGTTTGAAAGTACATCCTGTTAATTTTAAATGGCATTTATTTACAGGCAGTTGGGATTAGGAACAGCTTTTCCAGTGAAAGGCTCAATCACTGCAGTGGGACATTTATTGCCACTGAGTTGCGATAAATAGAATATTCATGCTCTATGGCTTTTATAGCTTTTCTTCTATGACATTAAACTTTAAAATAGTATAGGAGCAAATATTAAGGGTAGACTCACAATTCACTTTAAGTGATAGCAAACATGCAATATAGGTTAACTACCTCTCGAATTGCCTACCCTCTTAGGCAATTGACTGACGGGACAATCAACAATTGTCCATGATAAGTACATAACAACTGTTCTACATGTTCACGTTTTCAAATTATGTCTAATATCACTTGGATAATGTATGCTCTCAAAATCAACCAAGGTCCACCCCACTGCCATATGTCACCTAATGAACAACATAATCAATATTTTAAAATAGGTATATATTACTTTAGGAGGCCCTCGTAGCCAAGGGAACCTCAGCATGAAGGACGGGAATAGGAAATGCAACCATCACTGCAAAAATAAGGAAATATGTGGACATGACTGCTGTAAGTTTCATTCATTTTTTGGCTACCTTTACCTGCGAAAGGGAGGAGGATCCAACCTTTGCTGTGAGCATTGAAAGGTGCACCGCTCTGCACACATCTGCACACTTTTATGAGCCTCGAACGTGGGTTTGCTGGAGGTAATATCACATGTGGGGCTGCACACACAGGAAAGGATGTGGAGATTGTCTCACAAGTTCTTCTAGAACGAACGCCACTGGAAAACAAGGGATGAGCGTACAATGGATACGGCATCATATGCAATTTATACTGCTTTTATAAAAGGAATAACTTTTTTTTTACAAAATATAGGCCTTTGGGTTTTTTAAAACATAAATATATATTAGAGTGATGTTTATAGGGACTTCTGGAGAGTCGTTTCTCTTCTTCTTATCCCAGCATGATCTATGATGTGTTGGGGGTGATGCTGTGTTGCTGACCCCCAATGCCGCTCATCACTGCGATTTACCCAAGAGCGGGAAAGACAAGACTGAGAACCTGGTGCGGTTCAGGTGCAGCGGCAGAGCCAATCTGATGCTCCCACTGCTGCAACCCGCCACTGAAGCAACACTGTGCTGAGCTTCCACTGCCTTGCCTTCCCCCTCTTGATAAACTGCCGCAGTGCATGGCATTGAGAAGGCAGGTCTGAAACGCAGCCGGCCACTACTGCCTAGCACTCAAAAGATCACTTGGTGAATTACTTCACCTTTGCTGCTGGGATTAAATTCACCGCAGAGCAGTCACAAAATCAAGAGCTGTCAACTGCCTACTGGGATAAAGAGCAGGAGGGCTCCTTTGTATCTTCAAGAAGCGCTTCGGGACACATTCCTTTCCCGTGGCTTCTGTAATTTGCTGTGACTTCAATGTTGGCACTGTATATAGAGGAGAGCGGGATCCCAGCAGCGAGCCCCACCCGCAATCAACATTTAGCCACAAGACTGTCTATACACCCTGTCCCCAAACTAGCCCTCTGTAGGTGTTTTGGACTACAGAATAAATACATTAATGTGCGACCATAGCAGAACGGTGGTAAATCCTTAGATTGGATAATGCAGATTTATTTAACTGGAAATAAATAGGTTTCTTGATGAACATATAGGCCCAAGTGGCACATTTCCGTAATTAATGGTTTATTGTAGCCATGCTGAGTTGGGCTGTTTTGCACCCGGCTCCCCACTTGCACATGGGAGAAATAAACAAAGATCCCTGGCTTAGCATTACACAGTAGTGGGTGGAGCAATGCTGCACACCAGGATGCTATGGGGGGGGGGCTCTGAAGACTCCAGTGGAACCAATATGGTACTCCTATCAGTGCCTCTTTAGTCCACCTGTGCAGCCCTGACCTCACTGCCATTCAGTGTTTCCATCTGTACAGGTAACATAGATCTTGGTAATCAAAGACTATTAGCCAAATAAAAAATATGGGATGTACATTTATAGGAAACTTGGGTGTGAAATTACACAAGGGCACAACATGATTTACGAATGGCTTTCTGATACAGAAAATGCAGCAGAACAATGCAACTTTGTTCTTTAGAAACAGAGAAAGGTTCAGTCTTGGTTGTACAGATACAGAATTACCAAAGAATATTTTTAAATTTTTGTAACTTACCATGTTGTCTTCTTACGTTGTATGGCATAAATATTTTAATTGAATGCAAATAGAAAGTAGACACAAAACATGTAGACTTATCTTTTTTCAAGGTAAAATTGGAGTTTCACAGAAATATGAGATGAGGAAAGATTCAAAGTTTTCTTCATATCTCGCTGATTTGAGGAACAGAAACACAGAATCTGCCATTCCCCCAGCCAAACGATTAAAGGTGCACAGATGCAGAAATACTTTTGCTTGCACTTTGTTAACAGAATGTCTGTCTATTTCCAGTTAACATTTTTATTAGTAATATGGTTACTGCTGTCAAACATTTGCTATGAAATTGGCAGAGAGGAAAAGCTATATGCATTGATTAAGAAGGTGCCCAGAAAAGATGAAAGACAACCTTGTTAATGGGAACTATCCCAGCAAACTTCTTTGAAAGTAACTTTTATTGTAAATTGCAGTAAGACCTATTTTCAAGTAAGTTTTCTCAGATAATTTGTAATCATTGGGATATATTTCCATGCAAAATTGATTTAGGATCAGGCTGTAAGACTGGAATAATTATTCATCATGGAACAGCTTAAAGATTGGAATGCAAGTGTAACACATTGTTTGGCTGCCTGATTTGGGTATGCAAGATTTGCAAATAAAGACGGTACACAATATAGCTGTGTTAACATACTTTTATTAGAACTCAGTAGAATTAAAACTTGGCCAGAGTGAAGACTTTTCGACCATATGTTAGCAACTTCAGGATGATTCCCACCACCTTTCTTCAGGTTTCAAAGCTGAATAGTTCTACCACTGTAGGACTGCCATTCATTCATCCTCCTTTGCAGAGTTACACATAGGAATGAGGAATTGCTCTTCCCTTCCTTGCAGGAGAATGACTTGGACAATTGATAACAGGGAATGAAATATGGTTAACAAACTATAGATTACAGCCAGCCCGGGCTTGTTGACATGCTTGCATAGTTCCAAGCTTCTGCTGACTAAATTTGTTCATTTAATTCGTTTTCTCCCCTAAAAAAATTATACACCTTCTCAACCATATAAAAAACACCTCTCATAAAGTGGGGAAAAATAATGTTGTTCATATATGACTTTCCTATTCCTGACAAGGTGTCAGAAGTATTCATTTTCTAGGTTTATTTGTACATACATAAACCAAACCCATGCTATCATATATGTCCATTGTAATGATCTCTCCCTGTATTTTAGATGCAGATGCCAAATAAATCTCAAAATGTGGATCTTAAACAATTTGCTTATACTCCTAAATCTTTGCTTCCAAGATTGCCAAGGTACTGTACTGCCATAAAAATAGTCTGTCACCCAGTTTACTTGTTCATTTTAATATCAACAAGCACAAAGTATATTTTCTATATAAATAAGATTTAATTTACACCTTTCCTGTGATTTTGCCTGCTTTTATGAAGGTATTTACAACATTCAGGGTCCCCGTTGCTGGAAGAAAGGAATGATCCTGTTCTCCAGGAAAGTTTACCACTGGAATCTGATGGTTCCAAAGAGGCTGGTAAGTTGTAAATGGATTCTAGGATTCAATCCAATGAAAGTTAAGCGTTTTAAAATACCAGAGGTTTCAAATGAAGAAATTATTTCAGTTGCAATCAATGTGACTTAAATGTCTTACCTTTGGCTGAAACTTCTCTGTTTTGTTTCGCTTTTCATTTTCTGACAGCTTGAGATTTCCTTGTAGCTTTTTCTTTTCGATGGGTGACATTCAGGTAATATTGGGATATCTTTGTCCTGGTTGTCAATTGGTTCCTAGCTCATTCTTGCTTTTGTAGAATTCTGAGACTAAATAATATATTTGATTATGCTAGAACTCTCTTGATTTCAAAGTCAGTCTCTTGATCATTCTTATGGTTTTGAATTTTTTGGATCAGTAGTTGGCAATAATTTTTGCAGCCTGTGTAATCCAAATGCAGTTAGAATATATTTTATAATGGGTATGGAATTAAGCAGCTCAGACCTAAAAAACATTCCTATTGCTGTGTACCTATTCCCTAAAATAGTGTTGACAGATGCCTTATTGTATAAATTTAACAAATTCTCTAGCTTTTTTTTAACCCTTTGTGAGAAATCATTTTACTCTTTCACCTGTATTTTTATTATGCTCAATTATAGGTTTTGTTGTAAGCAAGCAACCTGCAAGTTGGAATGAAAAGAGCTGTTGGACAATGCCTTCACATGAAAATTTCAAAGAATCTTCAATAAATAATAACTTGACTGATGCCGATAAAAGCAGCTCTTTGTTTTCAGAACCTTTCAGTGTAAACTTTGAGTTAGATGAGATTTGGGGCGATTACGATGACAGTAGCCTTGTGGACGCCAGCACATTTTGTACTGATATGGCGAAAACTAAGACTTCAGGTAAAGCAGCTGCATGTAACATACAGTTATGTATAAAATAACCGTTATCACTGCATGCTTTTGAAAGGTACCATAATTTGCTCGTGATATTCAAGATGAATGCCAGAAGTTAAGCTGTAGTACTTAGTCTGTATGACACTATAATAAATGGATGGGGGAGTGGTAAATTGATGCTACTTCCAAAGCTCTGTTGGCTTATGCCAGCCAGGGTAGGAGATGATGGGGAGCAGACTTACTTTTCTTCCCTGCACAGTTTTTGACACTCATTTATTCGTTCCAATAGGAAGGAAATTTAGTTTTGCTAGTTCCAGGTTGATGGCAAGGGGAGGGCTGGCCCAAGGGTTTCTCTGAACCCAGTGGATCCAAGCTCCCCTTTTGAATTAGGTCCATTTCAGGACTTGATGCTGGCCTCTGCAAGAAGCATCGGTGGTCGATCGCTCACTGAGATATCCACGAGTGTTATTTCAGTGGAGTGGCAGTCGGACTCCAGTATATGGGGTTTGGGGTTGCTTTGCCAGTTGCTAGTAATGCTTCCTCTTTTCATCTCTTGAATTTTTAGATAAAAATTCACGGGAAATTGGTCCCATTTTGTTTGCAAAATATAACTGGAGAAGCAGCTTTGCATATCTGATTAATTTGCTTTTGTTTGGAGTGGTAAAACCTTAAGATAGTGCTTCAGTTACGTTTGCTTTCCACTTGAAAGTTGTTTTGGGTTGTTTTTATGTTTTAGAATCTTCTCATCTGGGATCTATAAATACATGCTTCCAGAACACCCAGAACCAAACTGCACAAAGCAAATCTCCTGGTGCACTTTTAAAAAGGTACGTGTAAGCCGGTGCCAATAGTGCATACACACAATCCAGTAGCAGCTGGCAGGGCAAAGTGGCATTGCTTACCTGGCTAAGAGAGGCAGGTTGGCGCCATCCAGGTGCAGTGGCGGAGCCAATCCTAATATATTTATCATTGCCTGCAAACTGTTACAAGAATTTTGGATTAAGGGCACTAAAATGGAAAACCCTGAATAATGAGGAAACACATTTTTATTGATTCGGAAAACTTTGCAAAGTGATGCTGTGCACTAGTTTCTTACGTAATGTAGCTGTGTCTGTATAGTATGTTTCTTCTATTTTCTCAAATACATAGGACTGCTCAATACATTTTTTTTCTCCTTCTTGCTCCTAATAAAAAAGTCCTAACAGGGTAATGCCTTTTAAGATTTGGAAAAGCCCAGATCCTAACAGGCGGGAGAACTAAGGGTCTGCCTTGTTTAAACCCATCTGATTCTGGAGAGAAGGAAATGGACTCTGCAATGTGCAGAGTTCAATGATGGGAATGCTTTTAAATAGCAGTATATTATACTGTTGAACCTAAGTGTCTTCAATGAAGAGAACACCAGCAGTCTTCACTTCAAACACAGCCCAAAGGGGAACAATTTGCTGACCTCCCTGAGGACAAAGACATGTTTCTGGGCTCTTGATCCTTAGACTGCAATTAAAATCAGTGATTCAGAGAGGAATCTGAATCCTGTTCTGCATTGGTGTGCCAGCTGCTCAAGGCTTCTCATTCGCCTGCACGCCTTCATTTGAAATGGACTCTACTGGAAGACACTTAACAGTGTGAGGCTTGCCCTTAGTGGAGCAAAGATGTGCTGGGTGGGACCGGTCCTGGTTTTGGATGCTCTGCTTCTGTCTCTATTTGCGCCCTTCTGTACAGCTGCCTAACCAAAGATACTCCTCAGGCCAATCTTTTGCCAACTCCACCTGATGTTCTGAACTGATCTTTCAAGGCCTGGCTCAGGAAACTTGATTGCTCCCATCTGGGAGGGCTTTCTGTTTAAGCCCTTCGCCAGCAGCCTGGTATGTGAGTGAGAGCATTTAAAACACCTCAAGTAGGCCCAGTGAGCACCAGTTCCCACAGTCACTTAAGGGGACTGGCGGTTACTGAGATTTGTTACCTAAGCCCAGAATTTGAATTCACATCTCTGTATGAATATGTGAGGAAAGCGCCTTTCAGAACCAAACATTCTGCTCTTTGCAGAAATGTCCTAAATATGGGTAAATATAAAAAGAATGTCTGTGTTTTCTACATCTTCCCAGAATATGAATATTTTCTATGCTAAAAATAAAAGTGCCCTAAAAGGATGGCATCACTCATTTTACCAGTGTCTTGCCACACTTTTAAACTATATAAACTCTCGTTTTCTGGTTTCATTTCCAAACATTTAATTTTGCTTTGGGTTCTTTTTCTTTTTTAGTTTTTCCATATTTAAAGAGAAACCTGATATCTGCCTGCCAAAATCCACCTCTCCATCATTAACTCCACCATCAAGTGTGAAACCACTTGCTGAATATGGCAATAAAAATATTGTAAGTGAAAGTAGATATCTGATCATCTTGCTTTCTAATTATCTGTTCATTGTATGTATGCTGACATGCATATTTCGTGTGTCTGCTCAAAATGCTTTTCCTAGAGTAGCAAAACATCTCAGACCACCCTGGCTTTGACCCATGTTTGTACAGAGCAATATTCCAGATCAGTTTATCATGCTTCCAACAGACTAATGATTGTTGCTTGGAATCACTTGTTTGCTAGCACCAGCACATTGTGTCTTAAACCTAATCTTATATAGTCTTAAAACCTGTGCTTGTAAATTCTTTAACCTGGCATTCTGAATAATACCCACAATAGGACAATAAAATGTAGGTGATATTCCTTGTGTAAATTACACTTTTGGAATGATAGGGCCACTTGCTTTGAAATCCACATTTCTTCTTGTGATTTTTGCATTACAGTTTGGCTTTCGTGAAGAATATAATCTCCCACAAAAACCGAAACCTGTACGGTTGATTACAACCTCAGGTTCTTGCCAAGTTACTGGAAAGGAGAACTTTCTTATCAGTAAGAAGAAAATGACAGAAGAGGCTGACCGCAGGTAATGAAAATGCTTTGTGAAGGTACTGCCCGGGCTTGGTCTGCATAATTGTATCTAGATAGATATTTCAGAAAGGTCATAAGATTGCAGGTAACTTTCTTGAGCTTTCCATGCAAATAATTGTATTCTAATGCAACAGTTTGGTTTAATAGCACTATATATTGTGCTGCAGATAAAACAATCTGATCTTACAAGGTTTGGTATAGTAAACCGAAATGTTTCTTGGGTGCTTTCTTTTTCCTAGGCAACAGCTTTCTGATGATGACGAAATTAAGCTTTACCTTGGAATATTTGATGGCATTTTCTAACACCAGGAAACAAACGTGCATTGCTGGTGATGAAGCATAAGCACTCATTTTGAGGATGAGATCTTCAAATACCCCGTCTGGATTTTCTACTTTTGATGTATAGCAGTTCATTAATAGTCAGTTTTGCTACATACAGTAATGACCAGAATACTATACGGTTTGCTTGCAGTATTTAATGTAGAATGCATCTTTAATAGTTATTTAAATAACTTTGTTTACATGAGGTTTCTGTTCATAATATTGTAGAAGACAAAGCCCTTTGCAAGCCTTTTATTAAAGGGGATTGTTTTTGAGCCAAGCTATTTGTTTTGTTTCAAATTATACCCAGTCTTATTCTTGGAAATAAGATTATCCGTATAATATGCATTTCCTAGGTAAATACATTTGTGAACAATGCTTGTGTTATCCCTGGAAAAATATCTTCTTGGTTGGATTTTTTTTATTGGGCAGTTATTCGCATTAAACTGATTTTATAATGACTATACATTATGTGAAACAATGAGTTTTTAAAATAAAATGGAATAAAGTTAGTTTGCAACCTCTGTTTTCTTTTAAGTACTATAATCAGAATCTGTCCGTTCAGTGGATAGAAGGCATTTCAGTTCACAGAAAAAGTCTTCTAAGAGCAAAAGGGATCTTTCAGTGAGCAAAGCTCTCCTTCTGCGTGTAGAACAGAGCCTTTGGATTCAACCAAATGTTTTTGCCATCCGAGAGCTCTGCAGAAAATGGGTCCAGGTTGTGATTCGAGGACCCGATCCCCGCTTGGGGAATAAAGACACGTGGACACAGAATGTAAGGTTAATGGGTAAGGTAAAGGCCACAACTTTATTGATTACAGCATGTGAGAAGGTATTGGCTTAGGCATTGGACCACGGAACATTAGACTCCACCCACTCGTAGAGGGGTGAGTCTGAGGAGGGGTTAACCACCAGTAGGGGAAGCCTGTTGATGCTAATCCAACTATAGGCTCTCTTCCTGATGTCACCGAGGGTCGTGCCATGGCCCCCCGCCACACGGGCATCGGACAGGATCCACGACCGCCGGATTCCTTTAGCAGAGTACCCAAAATTGTCAGGGAAGGCGATGGCCACACCTTGCCCCCCCCCGAAACACCAACAACACATTCCAATGCCTAACCGCCAAATACCACAAAAGTTGTGACGGTTGCTACGAGGTAGGCGAAAAAAACCAAGAGGCCGGGCCAATTTAGCCAATTGGAAAAAACTCCTACCAGGCCCCCTGGTTAAACAGGGCGACCAACCAGAGGTCCATAGCAAAGTCTCAGGAACAGCTAATCTAAAGGGAGTGGAGGGTGGGTGACTCGAAGAAAATGTGTGTGCAATGGTGGGGATGGCTGGCGCGGCTGCATTTGAGCAGCAAGCCACACCCCCGCCGAGCTTCCCTATTGGGTGCCCAACCAGGGAGGGGCGTGGCGCCAGCCCTGGAGTTGAAGCAGGGGGCGGAGCACCCCCTGCATGACGCAGGAATCGTCTCCCGCTCACAACCCCTCCCCTCCTGTGATGAGGAAAGGCTTTTCCAAAAGAAATTTCACCACGTAGAACTGGGTTCAGTAAACTGACGAGGCTAAATATAGAATCATAGGATTGTTGAGTTGGAAGAGATCCTGATGCTCATCTAGTACAACCCCATGCAATGCAGGAATATCAACTCAAGCATCCATGGCAGATAGCCATCCAACATCTGCTTTAAAACCTCCAATGAATGAGACCCCACCACCTTTCAAGGGAGTCCATTCCACTATCAAACAGCTCTTACCATCTGAAAGTTCATCCTGATGTTGAATCGGAATCCCCTTTCTTGTAACTTCAGCCCATTGGTTTGGGTCTTACCCTTTGGAGCAGTAGAAAACAAACTTAGATGTAGACAGATCTTATGGGTGCACCTGGAGGTTTTTTTCGCTCCTCCTTCTGGTAGCATTTCCATGCATTCCCAAGACTAAGGGCTGCCTTGAGCAGCACTTTGTGACAGCAAAATGTTGATATTGAGGGGTGAATCTGCTATAAACATAACATTTTTGGGTTCACATATGAGCCTCTCTAGACCCCAGTCATTAGATAGAAGCACCTCCTTATGTCACCATTGTTTATTTATAAAATTGGTACAATTTAGCATTACAGGAAACTACAGAAATTATTCTGTGGTAGTTTTATAAGTGGACCAAAGAAAAGTGGCTGAAGTATTACATTATGTCACTGCTAAGAGTGCGTTAATAAATATGTGATGGCCATTCCCTGAAACTTACAAATGTATTGCTGTTACATGTTCAGACATGTTTATATGACCATAAGGTCTATAAACAACCCTTTTGGAAAATAAAAACCAGAATTTTCAAGGTCGTAAAAAGTCCACTGTACATACCAAAGTAACAAGGCAAATGATATAGCCAAGGAAACAAGATAGACATTTTCACTTAGGTCTGTCAATATATATAAATTTACCTTAAATTGCAAGTTAGATTTAAATGCATGTTTTTTTCCTCCAATTGTCCTAGGTAGAAATTGTAGCATGTGGATTGTTTTTCTTTCCTCCTTTTGTGGAAACTATTGGCCCTGGTCCCAGGAGTGGCTTATAAAATGGCTTGCAACATATCAGGTTTTGTCCCACCATTGCAGAAACTATTGACCAATTCAAAATGAGCAGCCTAGTGACCCACTGTTCTGATTACTTGTATACTCCGAATTTTGTAACAACCATCAATGTCTGCCTGGGCCCAAGATAAAATAAAAAGACTACAGTCTCCATATTCTACAAGTTTGAATTAGTTTCTTTTTATTATTATTTCTGATAACATATTGGAGGAGGGGAAAGTTATTATCCGAGTTACTTTCTCTTTCCTCTTAAATTAAATCTTGCCCAAGGAGAGGATTAGTAGTTATTAATGTTTTTATTTCACTCTTAAAAGTGATTAATTTTCAAAAGATAAATTCAAAGTTTCTTCTTATAACATTCTCTCCTTGTCTAATATTCCCTTCATTTTTCATATGCCGCTCATCAATAATCTGTCCTGCATACTTTGGGGAATAGCTTCAGTTCTTTTTACAATATATTTCCACTGTTCTTTTGATTTTAAGAGACTTTAATTTCCATTTTTAGCCACAGACTAAGGGCACAATCCACCAGAAAGTTTATGCTCCCAGCTGGGGTCTGAATAGAAAAAATTCTGGTGAATTGTGCCCAAAGATGCCCAACACTTCAAAGAATCATTTTGAATTATTTTTGCCTTGCTCACAGTAAATCAGCATCATATACCATACTTATTTATTGTTGATATTTTCACACTTTCAGAAGATGAGTTTCATCAGGCAGAAGTTCTTTTAGTAGCACAGAATCTCTAGGGCACACACACACCCCCACAGTAAAAAGATAGGTTTTCCCTCCATTAGCTTACCTGATTTGTCATTTTTGTTTTGCATAATTTATTCATGGCAGTTTTATGTTTCTTTTAAAGTCTAATTTCCCTTTCATAAAATTGGTTTGAAAATTTTAATAGAAGCAAAAATATTCTGAAGTCTTTTTTCAAAGGAAGTTTTTATATTTACATCCACTGGTTTTTTTCCCAATTGCTTACCTTTCTGGTTTTGAAGTAATTGTGATACCTGATCAAGATCAAAGGTGATAAAATACCCCATTAGCATGGCTCCCTCAAAGTATTTAGTTTATACTGACATGCAGTGCATTCCACAGAAACTGCTCCCATAAAATACCCTTTGAAATTTATAAGGCCATTTCTGCACACTCAGTTTCCACAAGTTTGGCACTGAAGACAACACTGCAGAAGAGATGTTATTTTTCAATAAAGCCATGTGGCCCAGGTAGACCACCTCCTGGGACCAGGCAGACACTGAGACTGCTGTTGGTTTGCGTGTGCATGCAGAGTGCAGAGTACATAGATTGGTTCACACTGTAATGCATGTCATGGTTGCAAATACTTGCTCTCTCATTGTGACCATGTGGGGAGCTGATGTGTTCAGACAATCTTCTGTTGTACTGGCACATGAAGTGCATCTTTTTCTGTTCCAGTGGTCTGTTCTGTTATTCTCCAGCCTAGTATATTAGGGTAAAGTGTGCATAAAAATATGCCTCTACTACTGAAGGTAATATTCCGAATTGCCTTATACCATATTGGCCCGAATATAAGCCACACCCAAATATAAGCTGCACCTTTAAAACTGGAGGGGGGAAAGAAAAAATACCCGAATATAAGCCGCTCCCTTCCTCGCTGCTCCTGGCTGCATGGGGGGGGGGAGCTGCACTGCATTGCTGGTGGCCTTTCCCCTTCCTTGCTCTCTCCCTTTTTGCTCTCTCCAGTCCTACATAGAGCACATTGTGGCAGTCAACCCTTGAGATGATAAAGGCATAAATTATGGCTTTTAAGTATGAAATCAGGCCCTCACTGGGTCTTAAAAAGACCTAGGACTCAGCTATACGGCTGCAAATAAAACATTTCAAATGTGTTGTAAAGTGCAATATACAAATCTGACACTAGATGGCGAGAGTGAGCTATGCCAAATTCAGTGTATTTTCCAAAACTCTTCTTAGAAAGCATTTTCACAGTGTTGTTATATGTGTGTAGATTCCATCCTAATTATATTCAGCAAACAGTTTTACTCTAATTCAATGACACACACACAAAAGACAAGGATCTGGCTCCAATGGAAATTACTACAAGTGAAGGCGCTTAAATCATTGATATCATTTACTTGTTGAATTGAAATGCAACACTATGGGAGTGTTTTGTTTAGAAAGAAAGGGAATAGGGCAACCAATTCTCAGGTGATATAGTAGAATGCTACAGTCATTATTCAGCAGAAGATTCTATATAATTTGCATTATATCTGTGCTTTCTCTCATAATGGAGTAGAGAAAGCAAAATTCAATATAGCAGGAGTCATATTTACCATCTTACTGGTCTGAGTCTCTGTAATAAACTGCATGCTGATACCTGCTTTTAATTTTATTTCAGCTGCCTTACATGTTTCTTTGTCCTATCAGATATATTGATTTCAAACAAGAAAGTGAGGTTGATGAGATCTGCACCTGAACATGGAATTGCGGAGGCCGGGGAGGGGATATTTATTCTGCTCTTGAAAATCAAGATCCGAAAAGGCCTGCCGTAAAAAAAATATGTTTGCTTTCGGTGCTTAGACATGCTTCCAGTAACACACTGAAGCATACAATATCACACATTGGATAAGCTCATGAATGCAGTGGAACACACAATTTTAACCACACGACACAATTTTATTTTATTATTATCTTCTGTAATGGTATTTCAAAAGCTTACAGTATGAAGTTCAAAGTGGTGATCAAAGGAAATTAAGGAGCAAACTTAGTATTTCCAGTTACAGGCATGTATTATTCTAAAGCAAATTTAAAAAAGCAAAGGTAACTATATTTGCTGCAGGATATTCCTTTGCATTTTTGCAGTTCCGCCCTGTGGATGTCTACACAGAATTTCTTAGAATGAAAAGCTGGGAAACGCAGACCAAGTTACTCGGTCATCCTCACACCAGTG